CCATTTGCACACCTGTCACACACTGATAGCTGGTTTCTGCCTCCTATTTACTTATAGGGCATCAAGGGTCAAGTTAAAATACTGAAGACTGAGTCGAGCAGACGGGCCTTCCTTGGTAAACTTCAAGAGTCTTGAGTGAGGTGGAATTCGTCCTTGTGGTGAGACTTTTACTGCAACCGACTTCGCAACTTCAGTGAAGCACCCAGGAAATGAGTTGACTGGACCACCTGTCGAATACATCCTGCCAGTCCTAGGAGTGCCCACTTCTCATGCGAATAACAAGTTGTGACAGTGTGCTGATTACAGGGGGATTCATGTGCGCAACCTACGGAGTGAAAGCTAGTTTTACAAAGCAACAGTGATTTTAAGGCATCCATTTTATCTGGCACGGTATGTGCGTGTTTTACCCAATAGCCAAGTAAACACTCAAATTTTAGCCTGTGAGTGATCGGCTGGTTTCCTTGTCCGCATCAGGGTGCGTGGTCAGTTGTCTCGTACCAATGGTGTTTTAAATCAATTATCTTACTTGCACATGACGACAAACCCCATTGAGTGTATTGACTTACCTTGAACACTTTAGTGGTTATGTCTTAGGGAGGCGTACTGTTAATTGTGTTATACGTTTTGGACCGCTCAAATAGCTGAATAATTGAATCTAGGATTAGCCAATTTGTGGTTGAACTGTGCGTCATTAGCCAAATTATTTTCATATATTTTTGTATCATCCTAACCTTACTAACCCCATCTCATCCTGTGCTGCAGTGCATATCAGCATCTGTGTTGGCAGCAGTACTAGCATCTCCTAATATATCTTCCTTGGCAGCGCCAGGTGGTTTTAGTAACCTACCCTGCCCGTAGTATTTACCGTGAACCTCTTTAATATCAATATTAAACGTACCGGGACCGTCGCTCCCTTACATTTTTGGTGCCCAGACTTGTGGTTTGAGGTGTTCAGGTTTGGTGGGTCTGCACATCTTGTGGTATTTTTTTTGGGTTGCATCTTCTCTGTTTCCTTTCTGCTGAGTGCTGTGAGTGTCAGAATGGATATGGTTCTCTCGACAAATGGTGGGTTGCTGGATGAAGCAACAGGCGGGAAGTATCAAGATGATGGGTGCATGATGCAGTCGGTGAAACCAAAGAGACCCCAGAAGCATGGTGGCCTTCTGTCTCAGGTGCGGGATGGAGTAGTTGATGCAGAGCTCCCTGATGCTCCATTGCATTTGGCTGCTGGCAGTCAAGTTGGAGATGATCAAGTTTATATTGTCAAGGAAATGTGTGATCAGGTATCTAGGATAATGGGTAGCCTGACACCATCACGAATTGAAAAGCTTTCAGCTGAGGCACAGAGAGTACCGGGACCGTCGCTCCCTTACAATGTGAATGTACGGCGTACGCAGTGAAAGAGTCGAAGTTTATCTCATAATTTTGTGTAAAATCAAAAATTTTGTGGGTGTTGTCCAATCGTGAGAATTTTTTACAAAGCTGGATGTGTTTTTTTTTCATTTTAGAACGTATTCATTGCAAAAATGTGTCCGCTAGCCTACAGATAAATGACTAGTTAACTTGATTAGTCGTTGGCAACACGGGATTGGATTTCAAACCACGCGCGATTTCGGAAGCACAGCTGTTTCAAATGAGCTCAGTTCATCAAGGGGTGCCAATACTTCAGTCGGTGACGCGCCTCATCTTAACCAAGTAACCAGTTCATCAATTTTCATTGCAGTGGAAGGTGGTGTAACGCGGTGGTAGGGTTGGTAATTGGTATTTCGATACGTTTTCTTATATTGACATGAGAATATATTACCTATACAGAATTCCACACTGCAGTGAGTTGTGTACTACACTGTCTACACAAGCAGTGCAAGATGTCAACTATGCATGCAGCCGAAGCCGATGCAGGTGCTGGACGCAGCCAAGCCAACATGCCACTGCACCACCAATTGCAGGCTGTTTTGGCTGTAGGCTGCAGCCATTGCCAATTTATAATGCAGACCATCTAGGTAGGATCCAAACCTTGTCAAAAGCAGATTGTAAATCTATATACACAAGACATGACCAAACACACCTCAGAAGCAACTTTAGCTTTGGAGGTGTCTCTTTCTCTAACCAGAGCACAGGAGCAGAACATTGATAACATCCATACTTCCATAGTGTTACCTGACGTTGAAAACCACACTGGCTTCAGGCTTGGGAAGTTAGGGGCCATAGTGGCAAAGCAGAGAGTTTTTTAGACTCTCCTTCAAGTTCATTTTTGAGTCCTAAAAGTAGACCAGTAAAGTATCATGGATACCAGCATTATCTTACATAAAAAATTGGTTTAAAAAACTTGAGTAAATGAGGAAATTAAAAATGAATTGATTCTAAAAAATCTCTGGTTTGTCACTATAGTCTATGGTTGGGCCTAGGGAGAGAAGGGTGAAGGGACATACCTAAGTACCTAACTGATCTCAGTTGGCAGAATTTTCTCAAATGGAGCCTACGGAGGAATTGAGAGTGAGGAATCATAAGACACTTCAGTAAATTACCAAGTTTGGTAATTTACTGAATTACAAGCCCAGTTTGTAAAAGAATTAAACAACTCAATTGTGAAAAACGCAATAGTCGTAAAATTCTAGCGTGGCCTGGATTTACTGTCGGAAACTCACAATACAGACTATGCAATAATCATGGTGGAACCATAGTGACAAAGCAGAGAGTTTTTTAGACTCTCCCTCAAGTTCATTTTTGAGTCTTATAAGTAGACCAGTAAAGTATCATGGATACCAGCATTATCATACTTAAGAAATTGGTTTAAATCTTGAGTTTTGGGATTATTAAAAATGAACTGATTCCAAAAAAGCTCTGGTTTGCCACTATGGGTGGAACTACCTGGGGATAACTCAATTGCATCGATGGGGTGTGCAGCCGTAGACCAGCAAATTAACGCTCAAATCAGCCCTGGAGGCGGCAGAGCCAACATCAACCATCTAAATGCTATAGATATTGTCATCCTGGCACCTAAGCAGCTGTAGTCAATTGACCTATCTCAGTCTCACCACACGAACTTTAAACCAACACTTCTTCAGCACAAAAGCTGCTAGGTACTCTACACAGTTAACGGTCAATACGTTGTTCTCAAATGCTTTATAACCCATACCATCCTTGAATTTGATACTAAATTACTAATACGTAAACACGGAACATTAACCCCGCGTCACTGTTTCCGTATTACTATCCCCCAGCATCTTCTTCCCCCACACTTACCCCGAGTCCCCGACTCTCCACCATTATCGCATGGCTAACTGGAGGCTTTTCTCGCAGACCTCTGATGCTTATCCGAATTAGGTTAGGTTACAACTCGTATAGATCCTCTTTTCATAGCGTAATGCAGTCAAGTGAGCAGAAACTAAGATAAGCCGTCCGAGTCCGACAGTCGGTGAAAAAAAGCGGGAAGACGGGGTAAGCGTGGAGGTAGAGTTATAATAGCGGTTTCAGCGTTATTAGGCCGTAGGCCTGTCGCCGATTCTTAACATCGCAGAACATTCACAGCATTTTGCGGTCTCGAACTCGCAACTTACTGCTACAATTCTGCAATGCTTAACCGCCCGGCCTCCTTGCCGATTCTGACCAGAAACTGGCGCACAGAGCTGGGATCGAACCCGCGCCTCCATGGTTGAACTATAAATCTACTAGTTCAACCATGCGCGCCTCTCTGCACCAATCTTGGTACTCTGAACTTTAACCACTGGGCCACCCTGCCCAGTTATGCTGGGGGAAAACAGCTGTGACGAACGGACGGGCTGGAGTGCGGCTTGTGTATCAACAGCGGTATGGCGTAGGGAGTTGCTAACCGAAAATCGTGAGGAGGTTAGACGACATGGGATAGAACTGTTGGGCGGTTTTAAATACGGCGTAGAGCGATTGTATTGGTGGCTTACTTCTCATTAGCTCGCTGGTTAATTTCCACGAAGGGGATTTGTACCTTTGGCTTTTAACATATAATCCCTTAGTCTACTCTGCCCTTAAGCAGGCTTACGCACGGAAAGGAGGATGAAATATATGCTGGTCTTGGGCAATGCTGGCCCCTGGCATGCATCCCCATCGATGTTGGTTAGCCTCTAGTAATCGCAATTCTGGTAGAAGTTTAGATTATCTAATAATACTTGGTGTGAATTCCAGCCAATTCAATTCCTCTTTATATTTGAAATTCTGTTTCACATAAAGGACTATCTGTCAATATCAGACGCTCGACAGTCAACAAGTCTTAGATTAGAAACAACCATAGGCATAAGGTTAAGATTTTTCTAATCCTGAAGCAGCTACAGCGTTTATTAGGCCGTAGGCCTGTCGCCAATTCTTAACATCGTAGAATATCTACAGCTTGTTACGGCCTCGAACACACGCTCCCCCAAGTCTGCTTTGCTTAAACCGCCCGGCCTCCTTGCCGATGCTAACTAGGAACTGGCGCACACACCTGGGATCGAACCCGCACCACTCTGCTCCAATCCTGGTTCTCTGAACTTCAAAGTTTAACTACTGGGCTTATGTTTAGTTTACGGTGAATCAGAAATTTTTCAATTTAAGCAGTTTATTGGGAATCTGAGGAAAGTTCTGCTTATTCACGATTATAACTCAAGAAAACAGTAAAGTTTTTCTATCTTGGTCACTACATTCCGCGTGAATCAATTTATCATTCTTTAACCAATTATTACTTCATTATTCAATGTATAAAGCTTGTATAATAATTGCAAGTCTCAACACGTTAAACACAGATCCTACTTCATTTACGCGACTGAGATTACTGGATCCTAGCGAAGAAAGGCAATTACAGGCTAGTAAAGAATAACAAAGCTAGAATTTTTACGGTACATTGTGTTCAAGATAAGGCACGACTGTAGCGTTCAGTACAGTTGCAAATGTACAGGAAGAAATATTATCTACAGAAATTTGAAAATAAAGCGCCGAGAGTACGAGTAACAGATGAGACTACATATTTTTACAAAAAAATACAGGAACAACAATCCTAAATTCAGTACAATAACAACAGTAATTATATGTATATACGGAATTAGATCCATAAAAAAATAAATTAAATACATTTTGATACAATATAAGCTCTTAATTAACACGGGTGCAACATAAATAACACCAACCTATTGTACTATCATAGTCTCCATTCAACAATTATGAAGTCTTCTGACCAAATTTGACAGGCACAGTTGTCATTTCATTTGTATGCTCACAGAACAGATATATACGACAAATAATCGGCTGTTGGCCAGAAAAAATTAACGCACAATCGAAGAAAAATCCAGAGAAACAACCTTCAATAAACAGAAATGTATATTCATTTCAGAACAACAAATTTGAAGTGCAAATATATTTAACTTTTAAACATACCGGTATATAACCAAAAGAGAGCACTATAAGGCGAAAAATAATTGTTAGCTTTCTTCCCATACTTGTGAAAAGTGGACTTCGCCATCCCCACCAAAACTATTGGCCGAGTCTTCACCTTCAGGCATTTCCGAAATTTCAAAAGCAGTTTCAATTTCCACGACCAAATTGTCAGGATCCTCTCCTTCCTCGTCAACGCTGTTGCTCACGGCACCGTCGCACTCCACTTCAATGAATTCCATCTCGTTCACTTCGATTTGCTCTTCTTTAGGGACGCATTCTCCGTTTTCAAGATCGAGGTGTTCTTCAAACACCACTCCGTCCTCTAAAACCACTGTTTGCTGCACTATATCATCATCTGAGCCGATCAAATGCGTTTCGTTATTAATTTCAGAGTCAATACTTTTCCGTTTCTGACGAGGACTATCCTCTTTATTGTTCGTACCATTCAGAGCAGGTGTCAGTATATCTCGTCTGTTAACAGACAAATTATTGGAGCTATTGTCACCGTTCTTCAACTGGTATCTTGGTCTTTTTATTGATCTACCTTTAACAAGAGAATTATTTATAATAGGTTTTGATCCCACAAGACCGATTGAACAAAGTTCGCCATCGTCTTCAACAGCAGTGAACTCGACCGTCAACTCTGGCTTGTGATCAACAGCACTCACAGGAGACACCGTTCCCTGAGGAACTGCAACATAATCCGTAGTCACGAATTCAGGACTAAGTTCTACGAATTGTTCACGTTCGTCGAAGGCGAGTCGTGAGTCTACGAGAGGTTTACAGGTAAACTGAACGTTGTTGTCACTGCTGTTAAGAGCTTCACTGCAAGTCATGATGAATTGGGAGTTGTCATCAGGATTGATGTAGTGATACACAGTCTCGGTGGGAAGTAAGGGATCCTCGCGCTCGTTCTTCGAGTTCATGGAATTATTATCGCTGCTCGTGACGTTGCCGATGCCTACGTACATGTCTGTATCGCCTACGATATCATGCATCCTCTGTAAAATTAGAAATTTTGATACAATAGTCAAAGTTGCGCTCCATGACTAACCCACAATCACAGCGGTCCTTACTCATAACCTGTCCTCTCGTACTCCTCACTAATTGTCCTAAGAATATAACATAAAATATGCTAAGTTATGCATTTTAAAAATGTTAAGACTTATTTACTCTCAAAATAAATAATGAAATGTTACTGAAAAATGATGTCCAAAATAAAGGAAGAGATGGAAACTAACAAAGTAGTTTTTCTACAAATGTATTTTAAATTAAAGGGAAAGAGGAAACAAACAATGCAGAACTTTGCCCACCTCGAAATACTGCCACTGCGTGGGTTGCATGATGCCGCGATAGATCTTCGAGTAGACAACATACATGGTCTGCCATTTCCTCAGCACTTTCTTCCAGTCCACCATAAAGTTTTCCTCATTAAAAGTATCCGCAATTTCCCTGAATACGACGCGGTTCTTCAGCAGATGCTTATCTCGACGCTCCTTGACAGCCATCATTTCCTCCAGGAGCCACAAGGTGTTGTCGTGAGTCCAGAGGTCGTCGTCCTCAGTAGCCTCTACAGGTTATTATTGATTGTTAGAAATGTGGAAAATTAAATGGTATAATACATAAATATAATATATATATGTTTCAACTAGAAGTGCCTGTCACCTCAAAGACTGGTTGATGATCAGCAGCTATTTAGAATTTACGTCAGTTTTGGATAAATCTGGTGAAAAGGCCAGTTTTTAGGTCTCGAGGAGAAAAGTCTGATACATTACAAGAATTTGCGACAGGCCAAACTTGGCCAATTCTTTAGCGTCGTTGGAATTATTCTATACCACTATTCTATTACTCAATCAAAAAAAATTACGGAGGATAGGTTAAAGAGGATCGAATTGAATTCTCATGACCAACCGAAAAAGCGCTAAATTTTTAGCAATGATTTTCCAACATTCGGGACGTTTTCATTCTAAAATTTACTTATTGGAAGAGATTTGCAATTGATATCTTAGTATACAAACCAAACAGTTCGAATAATCTCGCCTATCCTTTCAACAAAGAGTAAAACTCTTTGTGCTAAAGGGTACCTAGTTATTTTTCCAACAAAATTTGAATGCTTAAGTAAATTCGAGCCTCTAGCAGCCTCCAAAGTACGAATCAAATTCTTAAAACTGCGGCTTAGGTCAAACTGTTATTCCTGCAAATGGCCAAACTGCAAACCAATTAACATTTAGATTATAAGCACTGCAGAACGATTGATAAACATTTGAGATCTCACAAAAAAGTTCATCAAGATGAGTAATGATGAGTAGGATGTGAAGTCTGTATGAATAAAATCGAAATAATCTTGACAACAAAATTTTGGGATATTAAAAAAATGTGGGCTACTTGCGAAGGAATGAAGTAACAAGGACAAATTATCCTGACCAAAATAATCAAGCTAAAATCAATGTGAAGGAGGAAAATGAGCATATTAAGACAAGCCATAAGAAAAGGACATAAAATGATGAAAAGTTTTCAATAAAAGATTAAAAAACACATGGATGGTAATGTGAAAAAGTAGGTCTATCGAACGACCACTTACTGTCTTCTGTGGTCTGATGAGGAGGTGACATAGAGAGATGGCTCGTCTCATCACAGTTCACTGGTTGCTGTGAGCTTGTTTTGTTCAGGATGTTGTCAATCATCTATAAAAAAAAAAATAAAAATTTACCAGTCAATTAAGATGGCTAACATATATAGTTTTTAGCAAGATGGTGACGTAATATACTCGTACATATATTAAAACTATGGAATAAGACAAATATTCAATGTATAGAATAGGACATATATTAAAACCATAGAATAGGACATATATCAAAACCATAGAATAGAGCATATATCAAAAGTATAGAATATGACATACTATGTACAAAACTATAGAATGGGACATATATCAAAACTATAGAATAGAGCATATATCAAAAGTATAGAATATGACATACTATGTACAAAACTATAGAATAGGACATATATCAAAACCATAGAATAGGGCATATATCAAAACTATAGAATAGAGCATATATCAAAACTATAGAATAAGACATAGTATATTAAAACTATAGAATGGGAGCTACATATATCAAAACTAGAGTATGGCATATATCAAAACTATAGAATAGGACAAATATTCATACTATGGACACAGGTAGGGTGATCAACAGGGTGAAATTCAGCTCATTCAATAGAGGTAATTAAGAATAAGTGAACATTGGATTTAAATTAAAACTTAGAACTGGCCGTTTCTTCTATCACTCAGGAGATTTCTTTAACACGTTGACTACGATTGCTTCATCTTTTACTGTTATTTCATTTTCTGTGCTTTTTTTTAAACAGGGTTGCCAGAGTGTCATTTTTTCCGGACAAATTCCGTGATTTAGTTTTTCTCAATAACATTGACCGGCTAAAATTTATGATAGGGGTACTTCCTAATTAAATTTTAAATACTGCAAAAAGAAAATAAATGGAATTTTTATAGCGGAACCTACAAATAAACTATTATATATTGAATTATCGGCCTTTTTTGTTCTCGGATTTGGCCGATTTTAGGCAACCTGAATTATTGACCACTACGTCCTGGAAAAATACATTTCGTGGTACGCATATGTACCAATACGTAGTTAACGTGTTAAGCTAATCGAGATACCAGGCTGGATTTCCTGAAATATATAAACCACAATTCTTAGAATTCCACCCTAGACTGTGAATCACCATGACTCACATCAAAAAGCTCCCACGCTACTTCGTTCCTTGGTTTGGAGAGATTCCTCTTGTAGGTCGTCATGAGGTTGTGCCATTTCTTCTGAATAACTTTCCAGTTAAAGTCCACGCCAATTCTGTAACAGAAATAACTCGCTGACGCAATTTCAATTTCCGTCAACAGGAACTAAAATAATAAAAAATAACTAGAATGGTGCACAAATTTCTTGTGGAATGCAACTGTTTGATTCAAAACTGGAATCATTGTAACGTAAAATGGTACTTAAAATATTTCAATTTGTTAACATGTCAATCACAAATACCAAGGAATAAAATCGTTGCGCCATCAGCTACAATAAATTTACCCACCAATTCCAAGGCACAACATTCCTCTGACATTTCATAGATATTCTAGAGATTTATCTAACAACTTCAGACATAAAATACATGTGAAAGTTCGTAGATAGGTAGTCTATGGGTTTATCCATCAATTTCTGTTAAAATATACCTCTGAAAGTTCGTAAATATTCTAGGGATTTATCCACTATCTTCAAGCATAGAATACCTCTGAAAGTTTATAAACATTCTATGGATTTATCCAGCAATTTTCAGTTATAAAATACCTCTGAAAGTTCGTAGATATTCTATGGAAGACACTACGGCGGCCCCTAGCGTCACCATCTTTGCACAGCTGCCTCATCTCGTCCAGCAAGAAAATGATTCTCTCATTGTTCCATAAGCGATCCTCTGGTGACGAACATCAATCATCACTATCATTATATTGAGATGACAACGTCGATTTGTAAGCATAGGATCATGTTGAAATGATGAAGCATAATTTCTATCATTTAAATAAATAATTAGCGACTCGCAAACTGTTATAATTTGAAGTGTGCAATATATGCACAAAAAATATTTCTCTGGGCGATAATAGAACAAATTAGTCAGAGCTTTCCAGTTGAAACTTGTTACCAGCAAAGAAGAATTCAAACGCTTAGAGCCACACTGGACTATCTTCATATTATCTATGTTTCTCATAAAATGCATCAACCTCAGAACATTGTATTTATTTCTTCAATGCAAGATAGAATGCAGGAGGTGACTTTATATACATGTATATAATTAGGCAAATAATTTTATAGCATTATGCAAGACTGACTTTGCATATAATTAGGAGAATAATAAAGTAATAGTAAACAGAATGCAAGAATGTGACAGATATGATTACAAAAATAAATGTACAAGAACAGAATAACTAATATAGGCGAGTCTTTACTTATGAAAATAAGTTTCAGGTCTCAGGGTAACTGTAATAGACTGTCTCACCAGTCTGGTCGTTGTAGTGCAGAGAATTCCTTTGTTTAGGATCCTTGCAGCCATTGAGTCCAACCCACACAGATGTGTTGCGTAGAATTACATCCATTTCCTGTACATAGAAGATTACTTAACCGCCGACTGATGGATAATTAAGGAGATTGATTACCCTCTGACTGATCGATACTAATCAAGAAGATTAATATTGACCACCAATTGATCCATCAAAAACGTTAATGGATGCCTAAGACAAGTGTCATAAGAGACATGGGTAAGTCATAAGTAATCCTTAAGATTAAATTACTTGAAAAATTTACTATTCAATATTTGAAGACAATTTAATGTAGTTTTGGACAATAATGTTGCTCCCCTTTTCTGAATGGGTAACTATAGCATGAATTTGTTAAAGAATTTATATTAAACTAATTCTGAGCTTGGAAATCAGTACCGCAAAATATTGACTTGAATCAAAATATTTACCTTGAAATATTCCCACTGGGGATCCTTCTTGGGTTTCTTGAGGTTTCGCCAGTAAGTTGACATAAGGTTTTGCCATTTTTTCTGCACTGCTTCCCACGAGATGTGGAAATTGGCTTCAGAGAACTTGCAGGCCAGTTCTTCATACACAGCCCTCTTCTTAATCTGCAAGAGTGAACTTTGAGTAAAGCTTCTTTTGAAATGAATATTTCAATTGCAAAAATAATTGAATAATTCAACAACAATTGGTCTAAAGCGCTCAACAATATATATATATATATATATATATATATATTGGTAGTGTAAGTATACATCAAATCCTAAAACCATGTAATGAGTGAAATCATAGTGACATTTCACAGTGAAGAACTGAAAAAGTTCTACTAAAAGTATCACAAGTAATTTAAAAGACAAAATTCTGATAATTGAATTATTAAAAATGTGTTGGAAGTTATTGGAAAATTCAAATTAAAGGAATGCAGCTTTGCATGGAAGATTTGTATCCTCAAAGATTTTATAACATGAATTAAATTTCAGAAATGAGCTCCTTGAGATACAGGATGAAACCTCATTGATGCTGGATGACAGCTCCAAAATCAATGTACATTACTCTCTACTTAAGTTATCACAAGAAAAATAAGGCATGAGAGAATATTCTTACTGAGGCTTCTGCATAACAATTTTATTCTAAAGTACTTGGTACCATCAAGTCATATTTACCATGCAATCATTTCATTCTTATATGCCTTTTTAAAGTTAACTTTGCCCATCAAAGAACTGGGGCCATACTTTCAAAACTGGCTAAGTGAACATAAGTACTTAGGCTCCATTTTTGTGTCTGTGATTGGTGAATTTTGTTTGAAAGGTCGTCAGTGATTGGCTGATGAAGTTATGATCTCTTAACTTTTTTGGAAAGTATGACCCCTGATTGCAAAGAAGGGCATTTGTGGTCAAAAAATTTGCATCTAAATAGAACTTTGAGATAAGCACACTGATAGGTGGCCAAGTGACTTCAAAACTCAAGTAAGATTTGAATTTTTTTAAATGTTGATATTGGCAGCATAAAAATGAACAGTGTTGAATCTCATTTTATTGGGTAGTGCCTAAGTGATAAATTGGCAATTAAAATACACAGCACAACTAGTAGGTACTTGAAACCAAAACAATATTTTCCAACATCTTATATCTTGGGCATTATAAGGCAACCAGGCCTGATTCTTTGTGGGTCTAAGCATCATAAGGGCAAGATAATGCAAAGATAAATAATTTTAGAACAATAGTTGCTTCACAGTTTCAATAAAAAAAATTATGACAATGAAGATACCTGTAACACTTGACTGGCACTACCCATCTGAACAATACTTTCTCAAAATGTTTTAGAGACAATTAGCATGACAAAATTGGATTATTTATTTAAAAACATTGAACAATACTAGTAAATTACAGAGTTAGGTAATGCACAGTAATTAATTGAAGAAATTGTATTCTAAATAAGAACCTGGTGCTTGTCTTCTCGGGTCTCAAACTGCAGCATTTCCTCCATGAGCCAGTGAGTGCTTTCTCTTGTCCATATTGGGCGTCGAGCAGCAAATTTTGCATGTTCATGGTCTGAAAGCAAAACAATTTATTATCATTGTGTTTAAATATGACTACTAATGTAAATTACTTTGATAAAATGTGGATTTAGCATCAACAATGCATTAAAAATTTAAAATGGCCCCTATTGCAATACAATAAAAATATTATCTGTATTGACTTGTGAGGATTTGTTAAAAATACGGGTCAGCATAAATTGTAAACTGTATTTTTGATTACAAGCAAATAAATTTCATATTAAACTTTTGCAGCTTTAATAGCATGAAATGAACATATTAAAACAAATCAGCAATTACCAAGGTAGAAAATTTAGAAGAAGTCACCCATAAATTGGATAAAAAAATGCCCTTGCCTCTGGCCAATTTGGTCAGATTGGTCTTTTTCCAATTAATGGAGTGAAAAATAAGAAAAACAATCCATTTCTATTTACAATATAAGAAAAACACTATTGAAGTGCCCATTTTTCCCAGCAATTTTAGGAAACTACTGTCCCATATTCCAAATTGAATCAATTAAAATGCACCAGATATACAAAACCTTCTGTTTGAAATGTTGCATTGAATCATAGTGGCAAACCAGAAATTTTTTAGAATCAGTTCATTTTTAATTTCCTCATTAACTCAAGATTTAAACCGCAATCTTATGCATGATAAATTCTAATGCTGGTATGAGTGGTATCCATGATACTTTGCTTGTCTATTTATAGGACTCAAAATTGAACTTGAGTCTAAAAAAACTCTCTGCTTTGCCACTATGCTAATTAAATAACTCCACCACGGGGGATGGTGAAACAATAACTGAATACGAGTAAATTGTGAGCTCCTAGTGGGCATGGGGCAAGTCAAAAAAATAGCGATTTATTAATATTATCTTTCTTTGGCTTTGCTAGCTAATAGCAAGGCAAATAACAATTAACAAGGGTAGAGTCTGTAGAGATTGAGATTCTCATTCTATTTATGTTAATTGATTTAGTTTTTCCTAATTTCAAGGCCTCAAAAAAGTTGAGATCCAACTCAATTATATATATATATATATTTTTTTTTAATTTAAATAAAGAAGTTCAGACTAAGATAGTAGAATGATGTATTACTCTCACTGTCTCACAGACTACAGTGAAAAATATCTATTGTCCAACTCAAATCTTACATAGCATTTTTAGGCAAATTAGAGATTGTGGTAATTCTGAACAGGCATGGAATATGTATTTGGGAAGCAGTGATTATTTGAGCCATGGTTTTATGGGTTTGCCAGCCTTGATTATATTTCTTTGAGCCATGAATTCCATATTTTGGCCGTGAAAAGCCATTTAAGAGTGGCAAACTTATTATTTACAAAGTCCCATGCATGATGCACATATTACCACACATCTCTAATTTTACACTAAAATAACTCACTAACATTTGTCTTCACTTAAGTGACAACTGAACAAGTGATAATGCAGTCTGACTGCTCTGACGTGACCACAACTACACGATCTTTAAGGAAATGTTTTGGTTGAGTTGTCGTTGTTATTACTTTCTGCCTGTTATATTGGCGGGAAGCAGGGAGGCAGTTTTAAGGTTAATAAAGTAAATATACTGCAGATTGTGGAAGTTGAAAATTTTATGAAACGACATGTTACGATGTTTGCGAATTGCAAACTGCAATTTTTTCAATCAATAAAAAAATATGACATTGGAGCAACGAAATTTCATATTTACTGAAATTATATGATATTAGAGCAGCAATATTTCAGAAAAAATATACATTTAAAAACTACTTTTTAAAGACAACACTTCCAAAGAATCCAGTATCTCCAATCTTACAGATGTACAATGAATTTCTCATCTAATTTTCGAAAATTAAAAAAATTACCTTTTAAATTTTTTGAATATATATAATTTTTTTTAATATATAAATTTCTTTTCAAAATTATTTATTCTGTTAATTGATTCGTGCATTGCCTCTGATTTCACACCAGTGTGCAAAATTTCAGATCAATTAGACAGGTAAAAGTGTGTCAAATATCAGTTATAAGATTTGTAGCTGACAAAATTATTTTTTCAATTTTTTTAATATTGAAAAACATTTTTTTTAATTCTTTTAAATCTTTTATTTTGACATTTGATTCATGCATTGTCTCCAACTTTACACAAGTGTGCAAAATTTCAGATCGATAGGATAAGTAGAAGTGTATTAAATTTTGATTACAAGATTTGTAGCAGACAGACAGACAGACAGACAGACAAGAAGTGAAGTTAAAGAGAAGTGTTGTAAAATTAAACCAATTTCTTAAGTATGATAATGCTGGTATCCAGGATAGGTACTTTACTGGTCTACTTATAGGACTCAAAAATGAACTTGAGGGAGAGTCTAAAAAACTCTCTGCTTTGCCACTATGATGCTGCGTTTACCCTACTACTACCCATAGTGGCAAAGCAGAGAGTTTTTTAGACTCTTCTTCAAGTTCATTTTTGAGTCCTATATGTAGACCAGTTAAGTATCCTGGATACCTGCATCATTATACATAAAAAATTGGTTTAAATTGTGAGTAGGGTAAACGCGATATATTCCGACACATTAAGGACGCATCGAGAAATTAAAAACTATAAAAAAAACCGTATGCGTTACGCAAGTTCTGTTGCCTTCACATGACTCTCAAAACACTTCACTATGCGTCAGCAACAATGAAACGTCACAAAATGTTGCCATATTTATTAAAAAGCCTTTAGAATGGAAACCTACCAAATCCCTATATTCCGTCACTTTGTGTGGCAACATCCAACAAGTGGTGAGTCGTATTGCGTCAGCGCTTCAAATTTAACTGATACGTATTGCCGACATCCACGTGTTCAAATTCCGTTTGCTGTGTGAGCTGTATTGGGATACAAGTCATACAACACGGCTTTGAATTAGAACACTAACGAATATTGAACACTACTTAATTACGTTTTAATTAACAGCTATTAGGCTTTTAATTGAGCAAATTTCAATTTTTGTACAAAGCTTTGAACGATCTGTGTGTCCTATTCAAGTTGTGTCGGAATAAGTTTTCATGTGTCGAAATCAACATCTCAACTTAATCATCTATTAATTTATTTATGACTTGAAATCAGCGAATACAAGTATACTTAAAGGATTCCTAATATATTCACAGACGTATTTAAAAGTCTCAAACCATAATATTCTTCCTATAAAAACAGTTATTCACTATTTGATAGAGCCATGTCAACTGTCAAATTTGACACATTTTTTGATGATCTCACCACGTGGCATGCATTGTCTCTCTTTGGATCTCAATATTTTCCCACTAGGTCTAGATGGCCAAGACCTAGTGTTTTTGCAGTATTTCGACATGCAAATGTATGACGTCACCATTTCAACCATCAATGAACGCATCATTACGCATGGAACTAAAACAAAGCTTAATATAAAGGAAAAGCTGGAGAGGTGACGGAATTACCTACGATGTCGGAATATAGGGTAAACGCGGTATATTCCGACATCGTAGGTAATTCCGTCACTTCTCTAGTTTTTCCTTTATATTAAGCTTTGTTTTAGTTCCATCATCAATGTAGGGTAAACGCGGTATATTCCGACATCGTAGGTAATTCCGTCACTTCTCTAGTTTTTCCTTTATATTAAGCTTTGTTTTAGTTCCATGCGTTCATTGATGGTTGAAATGGTGACGTCATACATTTGCGTGTCGAAATACTGCAAAAACACTAGGTTAAGGCCATCTAGCGGGAAAATATTGAGATCCAAAGAGAGACAATGCATGCCACGTGGTGAGATCATCGAAAAATGTGTCAAATTTGACAGTTGACATTGAAGACTGAGAAATATATTAAATGCAAGAATTTCAATCTAAATGTGTCGGCAAGATCTTCTGAAGGCGAAAATTTGGCTACTGAAGCGTCGCCAAAGATCTTGCAATATTCATCCACTCTCTGCACAGTGGGCCTATATCAAAACTCAAAAGTAAAATTGTTGCATACAATAAGATAAATGACACGAAGTTTGTTTTAGCTGTACAAAAAGGGTACAATAATGTCTTAATTGTCTTTGCTATTAGCCTAGTTTCATATTTATTCCCAACTTCCCAAGCAACTTTATAGCCTAGCTATTAAAAATAATAATTGATTACCTAACCAAATTTATATATCAAACCTATTTGTTTCATTTTTCAAGTTTTGAAGTTCAACCCTTAAATTTGAGAATACAATTCACCTGATTTAGCCATAGCCCATATGTATTTAAAATTAACTCTTTTAAAGCCTTAGAAGTTAGAGTAGGACTCAAGTAGGCCTATGATCAAAATTAGGTAGCTACAATAAAATACCATACATACACATTTCATATATACTTAGCAAACCATAGCAAATCAATATTATAAGAACTTTTTATGATGCTGAGAATTACAATATCGCTTACTTTCTTGACTAACACAGCATATCACTGAATAATACTGATTTCCGAAGCGGCTTTCTCCAATTCAGCACTTGCGACACGGTATCGTTTAAGGTTGAGATAGGCTAACCTTATTCTTGTGCGTGAATTTTAAGTAACATGACAACAACACATTTTGCAAGTGTAGAAGAATAAAGTGCAAAATATATTTTGCTTACCGTTGATATTTTCACTTTCAACGAGATCCGCTTCAATTATTTCGGATTCTGCCCAATTTTGAGGCAAATTTGCATTAGATTTGTTTGCATCAAATTGAGATTCCGCCATTTTCGCGCATTACGGGTCCATGGTGAATATACAACGTCGTAAGTGCACCAAGGGACGAAAAAACATCATTACTGTAATCTAAAATCAACTGAACAAAATCGAACAAATATGTGAATACATATTACATGTATATGTCTGGTAATGAAAGATTTTACTGGATGATTTGGAATGAACTAAGTTATACTCTGATAATTTCATAGCTTCAGTACTCTAGAGAGGTGGAAGTCTGCAATTTATCGGAATTTATTTCATGCTTAGATTTTAGACTATTAAAGTACAGTTTTGTTTAAAATTGAGGTGTCATTTTCTGCAAAAAATATTTAAAATATAAAGGGGGAATAAAAATCGACGGACGGATTCAAACGTTCAGGTTATTTCTTTTCATGATGAATTACGCGTGTATATGGGCATTCATTCAAATTTGAGCATTTCCTAAAAGGCTTGAATGAATAAGATAATAGTAGAGAAGCAATGATAAATCATCGAGATCTTTAATGGTAATAAAAACAATGGAATTTGAGCCCATGTTTGCGTCATCGCGTCCATTTTCTCTACTTATAGAATAAAAAGATAATTTTAATGTTGCATACTTTTTAGCGCATTTTCTCATTTATGGAAAAAATGCACTATTGTGCTCGCCATGTCCGTCTGTCCGTGACCTCAAGTTTTCGTTGACGAGAAAATGCGCTCTCTGTCACTCACTGCAGTGAGTACTGAGTTATATTTTTTACGACTTTGAACGATTCCTTATACCACTACTTTTACTTTATTCTTTTATACGACTAGGAACTATAGCCCATTTTCAGATTTCAGTGAGAGCTGGCTTATACTCAAGCAAAATGCTACGATGACATTTTAAAACGTTTTACAATGGGCATTGTAAAAAATTCTGCAATGAAGTAATTCACGTAGATTTTCTTTGTGAAAAGTTGAGGAGCTAATTGCAATTTCGGAGCTACAATTGCACATAGGATGCAATAAGGGTTTTGAAACATTCACGCTCACCCAAAAAACCCATCTACACTAAGCGTAGATAACTTCAATATGGTACGTATAGCCTTTCTCATTGTGTGGATATTACAACCTTTTTTGATTGTATGGATATTGTATTTATTATCGATTGAATGTATATTTACTGTTTGTCTCCATGAGGGACCAGCAGGACTATAGTTCGTTGTCTCAACTGGAAAATTGTTCATAAAGACGTGTTTTCACGCTGCGGCTAGAACGTTGATGCGCGTTTGTGTAAGGATTGGGGCCCATACATATGCAATAAAGATAGGGCCCACACACACGTATCTAAAGCATGGGGCCCACACACACGTATCCAAAGCATAGGGCCCACACACGCGTATCCAAAGCATGGGGCCCACACACACGTATCCGAAGCATGCGGCCCACACACACGTGTCCAAAGCATGGGCCCACACACACGTGTCCAAAGCATGGGGCCCACACACACGTATCCGAAGCATGGGCCCACACACACGTGTCCAAAGCATGGGGCCCACACACACGTATCCGAAGCATGGGCCCACACACACGTATCCAACGTACCCGTAAAAATAGCCAAATACAGCAATGCACTTTCATAAAAACAACAAATTTGAAATAAAACAACAAAATTACTGCTCAGCAATATAACAAATTTAAACTATAAAACACTCCAATTCAACAATAAATTCAACAATAAAATTTAAATCCGAATTCGTTGTATATGAATGAGAGTTTCCTAGACGGCATGTGGTTTCCGCCTCAGCGTTACTATTTTTGGTTGGAAAAACCCATCACTAGTTGGGCATACCCAATACCGCGTACGACACGAGCCACCTAATGGCATGAGAGTAACACAACACTAGTCATCTAAATGGGCATACCCAACACGACACTAGTTACTAAAATAGGCATTGATAACACCACACTAGTCATCTAGATGGGCATACCCAACACGACACTAGTCACCTAAATAGGCATTGACAACACCACACTAGTCACATAGATGGGCAACCCAATACGACACTAGTCATCTAGATGAGCATGAGAGTAACACAACACTAGTCACCTATATAAGCGTTGGGAACACGACTCTAGTCGCCTAGTTTATTTTACAATGCATCGTCTAAATGTTGAAACAAATTATCATTGTGAATACTTATACTAGCTCTTGTGACTTATTTGTCATATACAGGGTGTTTCAGAATTAAGTAACCCTTTTAATTTGTTAATAAATAAAAAACTAAATAAAACAAGTTTCAACTTCATAACGTTCTTAGTTTTTTATTTATTAACAAATTAAAAGGGTTACTTAATTCTGAAACACCCTGTACAAATCTTTTTTCTTTTAGCGTATACAAAAATATGGTTTTTGTATTTATTAGATAAGAGAATCCAGCACTCGGGTATCTTAGATACCACCTCTACCATTTACTTCATATTGAGAGTAGTGTTGAGTCTATATATAATTTGGCACTGGTTCTTTACCAACAATCAAGTATCTTAGATACCATCATCACCATACACGTCATATTGAGCGTAGTGTTGAATTTATACACGCACACGTTGCTTGACGGTGGTTCATCACCACCAGTCGATTATATAGAATACCTTCATCACCATACACATCATTCATCACAGTTTGACATTGAGTGCATCACTTGACACGTTACTGAAGCATGAAGAACGTTATCGGGCACTTATATATATAGGTAGATAACGTAACGCAATAATGAATGCAACGCTAAACACGCACTGAGTTCCGAACCATTTTTCTGCAATCAAATTGTGCGTAACTAAAATTTGTGCAGGTTAAATACCTAATTCTATTAGGGCATCTATAACTAAATATCGAAATAGTATTTCTAACAAATTTATAAGGCCCCGTTTCCACTGTAATTTCAAGTAATCTGGTTTTATTTTAAACGAAGTAAATGAAAACCCAAAATTACACGTGAGCTTCAGAAAAGGCCGACTTTTTGCTTACGTTGCTATTTCTTCTGCTGCGAGGAGCGGCGCCGGACTGTGCATGGATATTTGCGGAAATCAAAATGGCTTGAATTTCCGATAATAATTGCCGGGCATCGTCGTTATCGACGCCAATTACGGCATTACTGCCAGGGAACAAACTTAAATTCCGGAACAAATTACTCCGTGAAGATTTCTTCAGTGTTAAATGCCGTCTTCTTGTAGAGATAAACGGATGAGAATCAGTCGGATAACAATCCCACTGACTGGAATCTGTCGAGTCATCAGAATCTTCATCTTCGGCGTCGTGCATAGAAACTCCGGGTATCGGGATGGCAGTTAGAGAAAAATCTGTCTTGGGTTTTGGCACGGGCATTTTTGCGATGACTGTATTGCCTCGAGACGTATTCCGGCGCTGCTTGAGAAGTCGGTCTCTTTTTTGCATCTCGAATTGCTTTTGGGCAATTTTGAGGCAAGCCCTGAGTAGGTTGTCGGGTAGGCGAGGCTCCCACTCGGGAGGTATGAATCCGTCCACAAAAGATTCGAAAATCTAGAAGTATTTTAGCAGTAAATTAAAAATCACTATAAGTAATATAGAGTTATGTTATAGAAACTTTAAAGCAATGAATCCGTTCATAGAAGACAATGAAATATATATTTTATTCAAAACAGTAAATGTTATCAACATCATTGGAACTTTTAATCAAACATTAGCGATAATAAAATATGTTCTTCGAACAGAACGGACGTATTCGATGTATTTATACCTCTACATTATCCAGTTTATACTTTATGAACAGTCAATTATTGTACTAAATGAAGTTCATAAATAAATGCACATTGCAATATAAATATCATTTAGCCAGTTAAACTGGATGATTGAAAAATTATATCGAGGCCTATAGAAGAGAAATTATAAAGCGATTCGTTAAACACTTGCCACCGTAGAAAATTCGGCGATGGTCATATTTTGTTTAAATAGCATATTCTATTTATGAGAACTTAGTTGAAAAAAATACAAAAAAACTCGCATATACGAGTACATAGATTTAATTGGCATCTCTTACTTTGTTCAATGCCCTCTTTGGAATGAAACTCTCGAGGAATTTATATGAAGTGGTGACCCAGCCTCTCTTCTTGTTAGGCAGGATGCTGATGATAGGTGAGTCACACAAGGCCTGTAAGCTGATGGAATTCTTCATGATATTCTTTATACATTTCGGCCACAGGTTACTCCGCACCACCTCTTCAAACTGAACCATAAGCTCCACTTGAGAGCACAACCGCATAACCTCAGACCTGCGACATAATGAATCACAGAAGAAACTATTAGTAATTATAGTAATGAATCATAGTATATATATCACTAATATATGGTATAGTAAAGTATAGCCTTATAGGTAGTATAGTACACAACATGAATCACAGAAGAAACTATTAGTAATTATAGTAATAAATCATAGTATATATATCACGAATATATATTATAGTAAAGTATAGGTAGTACAGTACATAATATAATATGATTAGGCAGAAGGTGCACTATAATGCACATACCATTGAAGACCAGAGAGTATTCATTTTTAAAACTTATGGATTTGGCGTTCATTATAAGTAAAAAAATTCTCTCTAGTCTTGAACGAACAGTGAATTATAGTATATAATTAAATTGCAAATAGCATATTATAATATGTAAGTACAGTATACATAGTCTAGTTTAGTTGTGTCCAAGTTGGAGACCGCAAGTCTGACCCATCGCCGATACAATATATATGTCCCACAATTTTAGCACTTAGCTGGGGCTTGCACCCGAAGTCACTGGAATCGTATGCATGCGCCAATTTTCTGGCTCTTAACTGCCCGGCCATACCCGGCCATAAAATCAAAGTCAGTTCTGCACGTTTGCAGACAAAAAACTTAATATTTAATCTATGAAATGTTTTTTTTTTCGACAACCAACCTTTTACGAATGGATGTGAGATCACTCACAGCCAGACCCACGAGAAGGTTCGACAAGATGATGTAGATCAGGAAGATGAAGAAGAGCAGAAGCAAAATGCCCAAAATTTCTGTACTTTTCTTGCCCTCTACAAACACAGCTTCGTAATCTAGTTCTCCTGTCATCATTACCTGCAAAAAAAAAGACACGGACAATTACGGTAATTCATAATTTAAGTTAGATATATGAAGGGTCGTAATCTTTGTTCAACAAGCGGTCAATTCTTATAAATCTGTTCAAGATTAATATTATGAGATAAACCTACGATAAAGAAAAATTTCCAATATTAATTACATTGGGTAAATATTATAATGTAATAGGAGACAATTATAGGACATTATTTATAACATCATTGCATATTTCATCATCATATTGTTATTTAACACGATTTTAGACTCACGAAGGTGGTTGAGAGGGAGACGAAGAGCGAGTAGAAGGTTTGGTAGGGACGCAGCAACACGTGAAACCCAAACGCAAATCCAATGAGCAGCAGCATGTACAGTCCTAGGAACTTTAAAACATTCGTGGCGACGGTCGAAAACATTACAACGTACACACCAAAAGTTGGGAACTGACCCAAAGAGAGTAGCAATGTAATCCAACCTCCGACTATTACGACAGCGGACATTTGCACCCACCAAACGTTTTCGCATGGACAAGGTTGGATGAGGAGGATAGGAATGAAAATCATTAGAATGATCATGAGTGCTTGATTGAAGCTAACCATACGACTCCAAGCGCAGTGGCTGATTTGTAGAATTTCACGTAATAATATAAGTACGTACATAACTGATAGTAGGATCCATGATACTAGTTTTTCGTGACCAGAATAAATAAGGGAAATGATGCAATAGTGCCAAGGAGTGTTGAGATCGTGAACATCAACACTCGCGTTCGCTTGCCCGGTCAAAGACAGGTTATAGGGTCCGTCAGAATAAACAACCGTTTCGTCAGAAGTATTAAAAGAACTAACAGTATTATTATTATAAGGAGAACAGTTGGTGACGGAAAAAACAAAAAACGTAATTGACCAGACAAATAAACAGCTAAGAATGAAGTTAGCAATGAAATACTTTCGTATTCGTAGCCATTTGAGATGCAGGAATGACCGGCACAGGGGATGACACAGGATGTGTTTGTTGCCAGAATGAGAGAGATAGTGCAACATGGAGACGTCGGTGAATGTTGTTAGAGCATCAGGTAAAACAATTGCATCGTTGGCTGACTTTTGACAAATGTCTGACACGTTGTTCAATTTTTCTTGTTCAATGAAACACCTCATATCGAATTCCAAAACCAAGTGAATGGAATTATCAACAGAAGTGTTGGTCGCTATGGAATGATTAAGAGTATAATTGAGCAAGCTTGGGAAAGCTTCGATCATTCTCCACATAGAAAAGCCACATGTTATTTTCGCTCCTTTGGCTACGAGCATTTGCACGATAGTGAGGTAGAAATCACGAGACGATCCTCTATTCCACCACATCGTCCTGGATAAAATTGTTGTCAATGGAGGGACATTATCACGGTCAGCTATGGACACAGATGCCCCGTTATTTAAAAGTATCTCTAGGCAGGCAATGTCGAATTCTTCGTTTACGTTTGCAGGTTTTCTTCCTACTAAAAGGTGCATGGGAGTCTGGCCGTTCTTATCAACGGCGTCAAGATTAGCGCCTCTTTTTATCAGAAAGGACACAGTCTCTAAAGACTGCGCTCCCATGACAGCATAGTGCAATGGAGTCAGCAATTCGTCATCTTTGGCGGAAACTGATCCTGATTTAGGATTGTTAAGCAGCAATTGAACAGCGGCTGTAATTCCCGACCGAGCTGCAAGATGTAAAGGCAAACGACCTTCATTGTCTTTAACCGAAGCGTTATTGCACCTTAGCAGTAACATCTTGACCACCTTCAAAATATCATCATTACTATCCTCCGTGACGCTTGAAGATGTAGTCAGCGCCCAATGCAACGCGTTTCTGCCTCGATTATCTGCAATTTCTACAGACGCTCCATTACAAATGAGCTCGCGTGCGATGTCTGGAAATCCTTCGTTAGCGGCCAGGTGTAAAGGAGTGACCCCGCTGTTATCCTGAATATTGCAGTTTGCATCATTCAGCACAAGGTATTGCAGTCCTTCTCTGAAATTCCCTTTCGCAGCGTAGTGTAATGCTGATCTGTTTCCTCGCACCGGTTCTTGGTAGTTGATGGTGAGTTCTTTGTCTACGAATATCCTTTTGAACGTATTCAAGTCCTTATCAGTCACGGCTTTGAGGAGCTTCGTGAAACAAGGGTGCTGTTGTTGATGATCCTCTGGGGATATGCAGGACACAGTTCTCTTCAGCAGCTGCATTTTGAGTGGCGGAGCTTGCCCACTTGCTGCCATTCTTTACCGTTGATGGCAGAAACTGTCGAAAAAAATTTTAAAAATACATTTTAAAAATACATTTTTATTCGAAATGTACATGTTGAATACGAATTTCATCACCATTAATCCTGCCAAGATCCTTGGATATAAACCATGGACGTTCTAAAACATCATCCAGTAGTACTCAGTTCGCTGTCCATCCGGTAATTCGAATCGCATCCGTGCATCTATTGTTCCTATGTGATAGACGCTGCATGAGTTTTATAAAAACAATAAATAGGTCCAATTTTTGTTGCAAACACAATGGTTTTTGATACAAAATAAAATAAATTAGTCCAAGCTGACATCCACCAAGTGATGAAGGCCATTCACGATCAAAGCTAATAAACTTCAAGATTAAAAAAAAAGGAAACTTGAGATGGCAAATTGGATTATAAGATTTGACTTAATTTACATCTCCGTGGCATATTATTAATGACCAATATTAAAACCTTATGTTTTAAATAGGGTATTCTACTAACACTAAGTTGGAAATACAATGGAAATCTCACTAGCTTAATTTATGCAAAGACAGTACACGTATTCCTTAAGCTTGAAACTGACAACTTAGTCAAATATCGCTGTAAATTGTCCTGCTGACCGATAAACTTACATTTTTTCGGCATGGATGTACTAGCAAAAGCGTAAGATTTGAGTTTCGATGTGTCCCTTACGAAACATGAACAGTTTGCTGATTTTGCATGTTATGCACTTATATATAATTCATAGAACTGTTTTTGTCCAGTAAATGTTAAAACCTACAGTTGCGCTAATGTGAACGCCGATTGAGCCACCGCTGCGCACATTCTATCGATAAAAACCAGCTTACATTGGCCACAAATTAACTCTAATGGATTGGGTACACAAAAAATTGTCAGAGCAAAATATTATTCTTCAATTAATTTGAAAGATATGTCGTTCTTGTTGAAGGGCGGCAACTAAATTACAGTGGCGTCTCACGTTTCGTTGCGGCCACGGATTGACCTTGGCAGACTTCAATTCCGAAACGACAGATCCGGTTCAGTTGTTGATCAGTATAATTACTCTCAGTTGCTCAAATTTATTTGGAATCTTTAGTTTAGAGAGCAATTCACCACATCACCAAATTAATTCTCGCGAGAGCACTTCTGCCGATAAATGGAAGCTCTATTAAAGGGTTTTACGTGACGTAATAATTACATCCGTTATGTTAACAGCCATGACGTATTGATAATAGACTTATAATGTATTTATAATAAGCAGAGTTGAAATCGGAAGAATGCATAGTAGAACCGAGTTCAGAAAACAAATAAATAACAAACTATAATTATCGATGTCTAATTGAGCAATTCATCTCTTGATAACAATCTCCATACAAATCACATACTTCGTTAATGAGTCATCATGATTTACGAACATAAAGTATAGCTTTCTACGAACCTGCCTTACCTTCTATTTTCCAGAAACTGACACGTGATTCTACTAGAATTACAAATGTGCACAACGTGCGCTCGCATAAACCAATGGCACTCAGCAGCTGTCAGAGCGTTTGGCACGTACCTACCCACACCACAGTCTGTTTGGTACTGAATGCTACGGCGGAAACGAACGTGGACTCTGGCGTGGAACGTTCTGACGAAAAATGTCTTGCAGTCAACCACCTTCCAACCGCAAGGGAATTCAAGGTTAGAAACCATGCCAATTTGTCGTGAAAAGTTACTTTATAGAAAACTATACATGGCTCAAACAGTGTGATTTTAGCTCACCATAATGTTCCCAACAATGGTGTAAGACTTGCCAGGCAGCAAGTCGAGATGATTGCGTTTATTATCATGTATACGGCGTAAATCTCAGGAATATCACTAATTGCACAATGTGAACGCAGGCATTCAGTAAGAACATATAAAAAGAGCTATAAAATGTGTGGCCATTAAATCTGTTCTCCAGTCACTGTACGTACGTAGGCATTGTGGATGCATTCGTACGACTAATAAACATAGAAATCTCATGCAAGCTTTTGTTATGAGAAAATATTCATTTTAATTATTCAATATCTGGGATATGCGCCCCGAAAGCCCCTACGGCGAAACTTATACATATATGCATACGTACTTGCGTATATGTACTTGCGGCATCAAAGCAACATTTTAAAAATTGTTTCCATAATTTCAAATGTCGGACACATTAAAAGAAAACCCGTAAATATTTGAAAATTTTGGTAGATATTGAACGAACACTCAAAGAATTTAATGAGATTAGTGGCTAAAAAGAGATACACTTTTTGCCTTCGTGAGAGGGTCATTCTCGCTGACCCAGTTTGGCTCGGCAAAAGGGCGTATCAGTGCTACGTCCGCTTTCAGCTGGCGCTGTGGTTGGGAAAGTGTCACTATTTGGACAATATGACTCGTTCATTTTACTTAGTGAATTAAAATATTGACGAATGGAGAAAATTCTAAAAAATAGTTAGCAGGATTAAATAAAAGGTGAAAAATATGCAAATTTATTGTTTGTAGGTAGTGCCTCATCCTAATCCAGTTTGCCGCTGTTGTGAAATTAATTTCTTATTAAGCAAAAACGACCGTTATTATTAAACTAGATGAAAAATGCATACAAATAATCATGCACTTACTTAACCAGCATATAATAGTGAAGTAGACAGAATAATATCATTAGTTATTATTTCAAAACATCTAATGGTTATTTATGTATATTATTGAAACGACAAGTTACAGCTCTAAATGAACTAATAAATGACATTCCTAGTCCTCCGATAAATAATGGTAAGTGAAGTTGCGCAGTATGACTTACATATAAAATGCACGAGTTGATGTTAATTAAAATTAAAAAGTACAAGGAATTATTTAATGCAGAAGCATTAATGCTCCTAATTATCACCTAATCTAATAATTAGATCATAAAAAAGAAACGCTTTAATTGAGAAAAACTGCCTAATTAAATTCATTGAGCAGTTTTATCAGTCAGCACTCAGCAGTGCAATTACCGTGATATTGAACTAAGTTCTCTACGGGAAAATAAGGACGAGATTACTAACAATATTTATCATTAATCAACTTGTTAACAAGCCAAGCACTGCGCCGACTGAGCATTGAGCATTGTAGAGATGGGGTCAAAGACTAGAAATGTTGAAAGCCAAGATCATCCTATCAAAATATCCTCTCAATAAAAATGCAACTATTTTCAGCGCATTTTCTCGTTTATGGAACAAATTAACTATTGTGCTCGCCATGTCCGTCCGTCCGTGACTTCACATTTTCGTCGACGAGAAAATGCGCTCTCTGTCACTCATTGCAGTGAGTACCGAGTTAAATTTTTTATCATAAATCTCATCCTAGGAATTAGGAAAAACTATTCTAGATCATAAATCTCACAGCTGAAGTAATATAACTCCTTCTATTTAGTGAGTATTATTTATGCAAATAAAATATGTATTCTAGATCATAAGTCTCATGGCTATAAGAAGCATAACTATTCTAGATATTAACAATCCTACATTTGTGATAGGGAGTTACTTTTACCTCAGTACATTGTTTGGGAATATAATTCCAAGTAATTTTAATCTCTCAACGAAACAGTTATTAAAAATATACAAACACATCTGGTAGTATGAACAAATATTCTTAGCGACGTTTCTCTAAAATATGCCGATTTATAATGTAAAACTTACGCACATTTATACAGGCATGGCATAATTCTCGATTAACTAATATGCTAGTTTTTAATATCATATGAATATCAAGCATTTATGCACATGGCTGAAATTATTCTCAATGAACTAAAATGTTGATTAATAATGTGAAATTTAAGCATTTTTGTACAAGGTTGGCATGATTCTCAATTGCATAATATGCCGATTAATAATATCATGTGAATATTAGGCATTTATTTACATGGCTGAAATGATTTTCGATTAATCAACGAAATAAAAAAAAAACATTTCAGTTTAAACCAAAAGATAGTTGGAGTCCTTCTCCCAACTACAGGATCTACCAGATTAACTCAGGCTCAGAACAAAATAAGTGGGTCAAATTGCCCAAATAGCAACATATATTCCAACTATCATAGCACAGGATACATTTTTTTGCTGGGCCAAACTAGTTCAGGATGACCCACACACGGCAAAAAGTGCATCGCTATTAGGAGATTCGTCTCACATATTTTTTTGACAGATATGAAAAATGAATGGCAGCGTAAAGGCATGCAAATAAGAGAAATGTATGTATAAAAGAACGAACCAAGACGACAACGTACACACATTCCAGGTAAATCATGTGAGTTGTTGTACTCACAAACTTGGTACTCACAATTCAGAGGTGCTTTGTGAGTTAGACGACTGAAAATGACTTTCAGCTTCTACCTCTGATGATTTCGATTACGAAATTTTGCCGTCTCTGAATATTTTTGAACCGATCTCGGTTGAACAACTCATTCAGTTCTCATCCTCTTGAAATTATAAATATGTTACTTTTTATCGTAACGTCAGTTATAAATCGTCAAATTTCGTTTTAATCAGTATTTTTTAAATTTAGTTGGAAAAGTTTGTCATATTCTTGTGTTCATGAATATTAGCATTAGAGTAGAGCAGATGTCCGCAACATTTTCCTTCAGAATATAGTGAATTACTCGGCCCTTTCGGCATTTTCTTGGTTATGAAACCCTTGTGCAACTTGTCATTTAACCAATCATTTTAACTAAATACTTGTTAGTATAAAAGCCTCACACAAAAATAGTTATTCGAATGGTTGCCACCCATTATTTAGAGAAACCTATTATTATTATTAATAAAGTACAACAAACGTCGATGTCCAAATAATAACAGAATCGGCAAACACATTTTCCTTCAGGAAGTACAAGCAGGCTACCCCGGCGTTGCTCGTAATAGATAATTAAATGTAAACTCCCTTCATAATGGTTATTGTTTTCAAATTGCATCAAAATTTACTGGATTCAAAATTTTCATAATATTCTAATCTCAATTTTCCCCCGCCGTTTTTATCACATTGCTCAATATAGTTTTAATAGCAGATTAGCACACAGTTTGATAAAAAATGTTCAGAGTAGCTTAAGTCGCATTCCATAATTCCATCAGCTCATTTCAATGTTTTTGTCTCGTAGCCGTTATTATCATTGTTGATTTTCTCTCACTTGGCCTCATCTCTGAGAGGCTTTCGAGCGGGGGTGTTCGGGGTGCTGGCTTTTCGAAAGGGGGAGCTAGGAGTGCTGGCTTTTCGAAAGGGGGAGCTTGGGGTGCTGGCTTTTCGAAAAGGTACACTAGGAGTGCTGGGTTTTCGAAAGGGAGCGTTGGGAGTGCTGGGTTTTGACCCACGTTTGCTGTCACTGCTTGGGTCATCTTCCACCCATAAGAAGCGCTCTCTTGACATCTGTGTAACAAAATAGATGTAATTCCATTCTCATGTATAGAAAATTTTTATATTAAGAGTAATAAATTTCAATTAATTATGCTCAATTTTGATGTGCGATGGAGAAAATTTGAGTGTATTTTTATCATTCGCATTCATTACTGCAGAATCATTAACATTTTATGTATTTGCTGGAGCCAGTTAGTTATTTATTAGACACTTATTACGTTGTTGAATTTTTCAGGGTTCGAACCAATCACATTAATGTCAGCATCATCCTCGTTAGAAGCACGTGGATAGGATTAATAAAAAACGTTGAACTCGTCCATTTTGACTCAGAGAACCGACCTATATGAAAGCTTGGCTGAAAAATTCTAGGATGAAGATGGCTTCGTTTAATTTTGGTTTCAGTGAAAAACATAAAAAACACACTTCGCACTTTTTTCGCCACATACAAGAAACACTTTTTGCTCTTTTTTCGCCATTTCAACAAGAAAAAAGTAACAAAATGTAATGAGTTGATTTTGAATGAATTGAATTTAAAAATGAATTTAAATTACATTCATTTAATAAATTTATTTAATAATTTTATTAAATTAAATTATTAGTATGCTATTAATTTAATGATAAAAATGAAATTATTCAATACAATTAAAAAAATTAAATGGCATTGAAATCGATTAAAATGTAGCTAAAATAAATATTTAATGTACGAAAATATTAAAAATAAATGCTCACTTCTTGGAACCGCGGCCACCAGCTGGAAATGTACTGAATGTAGGCGTCTCTGTACTGCTTGTTCATGAACACGTAGATGAATATGTTGAGGCAGTACTGCAGCCAGTACAGTGGGTGCAGTAGCAGTAGAGTTGTTGCGTACATACCCTGTACATTGTAAGGTGACAGAGATCATTTATCTCTGCATTAAACTGCAATGGACAGCCTCCGTACATTGTACGATGACAGATTATTTAGCTATGCATTAAACTACAATGTACAGCCTCTGTATATTGTAAGATGCCTGAGATTATTTATCTACGCATTAAACTACAATGTACAGCCTCTGTATATTGTAAGATGCCTGAGATTATTTATCTACGCATTAAACTACAATGTACAGCCTCTGTACATTGTAAGATGATAAAGATTATTATCTCTGCATTAAACTGCAATGTAGAGCCTCTGTACATTGTGCGATGCCAGAGGTTATTCTCCACTTCATTTAACTGAAATGTTCAGCTCCTGTACATTATAAAGTGTTAGAGATTATATATCACTGAATTGCACTACAATGTACAGTCTCTGTACATTATACGATGTCAGAGATTACTCTCCACTGCATTGAACTGTAATCTGTTGTAGTAATTGTACACTGTACAGCCTCTGAAAGTTTGACAATGCCAGAGATTAATTTTTACTGCATTACACTGCAATATAAATAGAATACATATATTACTTATCAACAATCTTATAAATAGAATATATTTTGTATCGCTGGGCAGTATTAGTTTTTTAATCGTTAAAGACACGAGTATTGCTCATTAACAATTTTCTTGTTGTTTTTCTCTATTCTATGAGGTTTCGAGTATGATTTGAAAATCAGGTTTCGAAGGGACATTTTATAATGATTTTACGACGTTTCAAATAAACATTATTTTTGGTCAAGTAATATGACAGCTTGAAATTTTGATATGGCTTTAGTGAAAATATTCAGTATGATAGATACGAATTTAAATTTAAGAACAATAATTACTCTGAAAATGATAATATATAACAATATCAATACCAGCTGTTCAAAATCTTCTTTATATGCAATATAATTTGTTAATTTTTAATACTTCTCGTTCATTTATACATTATCTTCTTCACTTGCAATATAAAATATATCTTGTATATAGTATATAAAATAATGCCAAATATTATGTTGATACTGACTGTGTCATCGTAGTAATGCATGACAGAGACCGGCATGCAGCAGACCAGGAAGACGATGAAGATCACGAGGATCGTGAGAGCGATGCGTATGTCGCGCGCCCGCAATCCTGCTGCCGGCCGGTCTCTACGAGTTATATTATATTTATTTATTATATAACTGTTATATATAATTACCAAGTGAAATATGCAATAATAACAGTAATAAAGAAATAAATAATTTATTATTTAACTGTTATCTATAATGACCAAGTTAAATATGCAATAATAATAGTAATAAAGAAATAAATAATTTATTATTTAACTGTTATCCATAATTACCGAGTTAAATATGCAATAATAATAGTAATGAATAAATAATTAATTTATTATTTAACTGTTATATATAATAACCAAGGTATATGTGCAATAATAATAGTAATAAAGAAATAAGCAATTTATTATTTAACTGTTATCTTTAATAGCGAAGTTAAAGATGTAACAATAATAGGACGAAAATAGTTCAATTATTATATGTTCGCTATCTATAATAACCAAGTTCTGGTTTTGTTAATAAGAATGCCAGTTTTTACTTTTCAAATTAACGAATAATAGCAATAATATTGTTTCTACAAAAACAAGAATAATACTAACATCGATCATTGAGGAAATGAGAAGGATATTATTAAAATTTAGTTAATTTTATGGTTTTGCTACACCCGATAATACTTTTTATTTTAAGTTTATCTAAAATGCGTGATACAGATTTTACTACTCTAGTATTATCGAGAGTTTTATTGCTACTAAGAATAGTATTCGAGATCAATTAAATAAAGTATTGTAATATAATATTATACTACTATAAAGTAGTATAATAGCATGTATCATTATTAGAAATCGTGAGTGTGATATTGAATATTAAAATAATGTTTAATGCTATTGGAAAAAGTGAGTATAATATTGAAGATCGTGAGTATATAATAATAAATTGTGAACATATATTGTCATGAAGCCTGACTTTGGCAGTGAAGTCGTTGCTGAGTCAGCGTCTGCAGCGACCGCGGCGTGACGGCGGAACTTGGTCAGGCTGGAGCGCGCCTGCGAGGCGAAAGTAACAATTGTGGAAATATTTCAGATATTTATTTACATAAACTGTGTAATTTCGCTTTGCAATTAAATATTCATCAGTATGCGTGTTGCATGAGTTTTTTTGCTAATTTTTTCCATATATAAAGATGTATAGGAGAGTACGATGATGAGGGCCGTGGAGATGCAGTCTAACATGAAAGTAACAACAATAAGAAAGTAAAACTACCTTGTAGAAGATGAAGATGTAGGAGAGTACGATGATGAGGGTCGGGGAGATGCAGTCTAACATGAAAGTAACAACAATAAGAAAGTAAAACTACCTTATAGAAGATGAAGATGTAGGAGAGTACGATGATGAGGGTCGGGGAGATGCAGTCTAACATGAAAGTAACAACAATAAGAAAGTAAAACTACCTTATAGAAGATGAAGATGTAGGAGAGTACGATGATGAGGGTCGGGGAGATGCAGTCTAACATGAAAGTAACAACAATAAGAAAGTAATATTACCTTATAGAAGATGAAGATGTAGGAGAGCACGATGATGAGGGCGGGTGTAAGGAACCCTATCGCGAGGTACACCCGACGAGGTCCCTTGCCCACGTGCGTGTCATCCCCGAAGTCGCACTCGTGCGTGTCCACGTTGTAGGCAAACCGCCCATACAACTGAACGAGGATAACAAATTATTTCAGCTAATTGATTTTTTAATTGATAATAAATTATCTTAGCCCATTAATTTTTTGTTTGATAAATTATTTAAGCTAATTAATTTTTCATATTGAGTTTTTTAGTCACTACAGCTCTCGTGCGTGTTCAAGCTTCGTTAGGAATTTTTGTGCCTACAGCTGCAAACGGAATTTTTTTTCTCATTTGTGTTTCAAGGGTAGAATTTTTGCCAGAATGTCGGCCACGTAAAACAAAATATTTGCAATGAAAGGTAAGGACATGAACGCTGCGTATATTTGACATGTATAATATAAACGTGAATACCAAGAGAATTAACAAATATGTTGAATTAATCACGAAATTGATACCGCATATATAGATCAACTTTAAGAATGAACAGAGAATACGAGTAAGAAAATATTCTAAAAAGAAGCATATTTTGCGTACACATAAAATCTGGACAAAAAACCTTGATTAATGACAGATGTGACTTATAGAGAAGGAACAGAAATACTTCGACTTAAGGCACCTTTGACGTATAGAACAGGGACAAAAACGTCTATGTGAGTTAGATTTTAATTAAAGAAAAATGAGCGAAATTCCTAAACTTGAAAGCTATTCAAAGTATATAACAAAGACATGAATACCTCAAATAAAGGCAGCAGCATGATGACGATAGACACGACCCATATCGCCACGATACAAATAATCGTGTTGCGTGGACTGAAGATCTTCTTGTAACGATACGGCACTACGATGAGGATGCATCTGTACCGATATACCATACATGAAAAACATAACCCTAGCATTTAAATAGAAATATAATTTATGAAATATGTACATCGCAAATCTCGGTAATACATTTTATATACTTAAATCGGCGCCTCTTGATTTGCAAATAAATTGTATCGAAGGACTAAAAAAAATAAAAAATATTAATAATTTATTCGCACAAAGTTCCATGTCAAATCAAATGCTATTCCATATCTCAACTCGAGTTCGCTGCTCGAAACAAATAAACGAATAAGACTCGTTTTTTCTATGCGTTGCAATTTCCAATGACACAAGTTTAAAAGTTAATAGAAAAATATGCAAAAATAAAGACCAATTTTTGCAATACATTTGCATTTTTATTTTACTTGAATGTATCAAAATTTTTGTTTTACAGTCTACCCAGCAAATTTATTTGATTGAATGTATAATACTTGTCCATTTGTATCAATTGTATTAAATTATAATGATTATATGGTGTAAACAAACCAACTCATTAATACCTACATATTACTGCATTAAATCATCATATAATATGGTGCATACACTATAAGACCCACTTATTACTGTACTAAAATGAAATTATGGTAAAGTAACATGGTGCAGACACAGTAATATCCACAAATTTTTGTAACAAAATGATAGTGAAGTAATATGATGCAAAGAACTAATAACCGCCTATCATTGTATTTAAATGATAGTGATGTAGTATATAATGCAGACACAGCGAGACTCATTTATTATTGTTTTAAAATAAATTAGTAATATAAAACCAACAAAATAAGACCTACCTGTTAAGTGCCACGCCAGCGATGGAGAGAAGCTCTGCTTGCACATTCACGTATCTCAAGAAAACAAATGCCCTGCAGCCGTCATCAGAAAATAAAGGTTCGCCTTCATCCCTGAGACGCAACAGATGTGCGGCCACCATCGGCAGGATGGTGATGCAGAAAAGACACTCTGTTGCTGCCAGGTTAACTACGAACCACGTGGACGCGTTACGAATTTTGTGCGAGAAAGGTAAGGCCACCATCGTCAGCAGGTTACCTGAGAATTGTGAGGAGATGGTGAAGAAATATAACTCAGTACTCACTGCAGTGAGTGACAGAGAGCGCATTTTCTCGTCGACGAAAACTTGAGGTCACGGACGGACGGACAGACAGACAGACAGACGGACATGGCGAGCACAATAGTGCATTTTTCCCATAAATGAGAAAATGCGCTAAAAATGGTGGAATGTCCAGGGAAAGTAGGAACTTCCTCAGCGGTTTTGTTGTACATGGAGAAGGGTGCCAAGGAAGTGTAGGTGGATTTGGGTGAAAAAGTGATTGGAATAAAATATCTTCGGTATTTAAAAACGTTTAAAAATTTTTTTAAACATTTGCAATAAAATTGAACTGGTTTGTAGGCTGGGAAGAGGGGATTAATAAACCAAGATACCAAGAATCGAAATCAAAGCCAGTGGAGACGACACATCAGCAGCGGATTGCCTGTGCATTAATGTTGAGGAAAATGTTGATGAAAATGTGTTGAATTTCGGGTGATCATGTTAGATAAACAACGATTGTAGTCAGAACACCGAAATAAAGTGGAAAATGAGTATAAAAATCAAAATCTACACTGTTAGAAAAAACGGTGAAAAAACGGTCCCACTGGCATTCTAGTGGCCTGTCGCCCCGTGGAAATAAACTGTTTCGCCGTTTATATCAGATGTTTCACGGATTTCTAGTGTTAAATTAGAATAAAAACGGCGACGCGGTGTTTCTTTTCACGTGCCGACCGGCCACTGAAACGCCGGTAATACCGTTAACGGTAATTTTTCTAACAGTGTATAAGAAGATTATCAAGATAATATGTGACGATTGCTCGGGAAAAAACAAGAATACCTTCAGTTGCTTGGGGTAAAATTTGCGAATACAGTAAAATTGCATTTACATGCGATTAAGTGGTTATGATTTTGATGATTTTGAATAGAAGTGGACTTATACTTAGACCAGCAATAGTGACGGCTTCATGAACAAATAATTCCACGGATTACGGATACAATTTTGAACCGTTGTGTAATCTTCAGAACATATATTTATCGAAAAAGTATATTTTTTGCACTAAAAAACTGGATATAGATAACAAGTAAAATTTATAGTGAAATTAAAAACAACTGTTGAACATGGAATATAGGCGATGTTCGCCTGGTAATTGTAACATGAGCACGTTGCTGCGTTACTACAAACACATTACACTGTTAGAAAAATTACTGTTAACGGTATTACCGGCGTTTCAGTGGCCGGTCGGCACGTGAAAAGAAACACCTTGCCGCCGTTTTTATTCTAATTTAACAGTAGAAATCCGTGAAACATCTGATAAAATGGCGAAACAGTTTATTTCCACGGGGCGACAGGCCACTAGAACGCCAGTGCGACCGTTTTTTTCACAGTTTTTTCTAACAGAGTAGCGTCAGGTAGCACGCGTTACCACACTCGCGTTATCATAAAGTAACATATGTGACCACACTCGCGTTAGCGTCAAGTAACGGGCATTACCACATGCGCGTTGCCGTCAAGTTACGCACGTTACCACACTCGCGTTACCTTAAAGCAGTGGTTCCCAAACTTTTTCAGGCTGGCGCCCCCTTTGGCTCCCTAGTGAATTTCTAGCGCCCCCCACAGACATGCGCCTCCTTCTTGAAATTTAGAATGCTGCAACTTTAAAAGATAAAGGTTAAAAACAAATGTGTATTTCACAAATAGAACCCCATTTAGTGAACCAATATGTTTTTCAGCAGTTTTAACTGTTTCAGCACTAGAAACCTAGGACGTCGCGAGCGAATTTACGGCCGGACTCGTGGCCAGTCTCACGACCAATCTCCAAATTCAATTATCAAGTAATATCTCGCAAACTAATGAACGCAGCTCTATGAAACTTGGAACACGTATTCATCAGAACCTAACGGTGATGTTTAGCTCGTAAATTTTTTTAAATTTCACCTTCATTCCTAAGTTACGCGTATATTGCGAAACAGGCCGAAATTCGCAGTGATCAAAGAATTTATTTCAAACTATTGAACAGATTTGAACGAAATTTTGAATATACATTCCTAACTACCAAACGGTGATTTTTAAGCTTATTAATTTTTTTCGATTTTACCTTCGTTTGCGAGTTTTTTTTTCATTTCACCGTCATTTTTGATTTCACACTTCCTTATATTCGGCCCGTATCGCCGGGTAATTTGTCACTTAAATTCGCGGCGATCAAGGAATTTCTTCTAAACTACAGAACATATTTCAACGAAACTTTGTATATAAATACCCAACCTTACAACGGTGATGCTAATTAGCTCGTGACAATTTTTCTATTTTGCTTTCGTTCGCGAGTTATACAGATATAGGAGGAACGACCGGCTTTTCTACAGGCCGGTTTAACCAAGGACATTATACGTATAGCCGTATAACTTGCAAACGAAGGCAAAACGAAAAAATATAAACATCACCGCTGCTGAAGTTAGGTATTTAAATACTAAGTTTCGTTCAAATGTGTTCAGTAGTTTGGAAAAAATTTCTTGATTACTGCGAATTTAAGCACGTATTGCTGTTTAAATCACGAATGAAGGTGAAATTAACAAAAAAATCGCGAACGAAGGCACAATCGAAAAATTTTTCTCGAGCTAAACATTACCGTTCGGTAGTTAGGACTTTAAATTCCAAATTTCGTTCGAATCTGTTCAGTAGTTTGCAGAAATTACTTGATCACTGTGAATTTCGGCCCGTATTGCCATATAACTATGGCATACGGGCCATATATTGCCATATAACTATGAAAAGAACAAACGAGGGCAAAATTCAAATAATTTTCACGAGCAAAACATTATCGTTAGGTCCTAATGAATACGTGTACCAAGTTTCATCGAGTTAAGTTCATTAGTTTGAGAGATATTCCTTGATTATCGCCCCCTACCGCCCTCTTCTTCCTTATCGCCCCCCAAAATCTTCCCACCGCCCCTAAGGGGGCGATATCGCCCACTTTTGGGACCACTGCCTTAAAGTAACATACGTGACTGCACTCGTGTTAGCGTCAAGTAACGGGCAATACCACATGCGCGTTACCGACAAGTTACGCACGTTGCACCTCTCTCGCTACTGCGTTACCACGTCTGCAGTTCCCATATCTCACACTCGCGACCATCAGGTAATATTATTCATTACCACATTGCATTACCGTCAGTATGATGAAACCTAAGCTCTGGTCCGTTCGTCCCACTCACCGAGGAAGCCAACGATGGCAATGATGATGGCAGCGATGACGGTGAAGGATAGCGCCCAGTCTGGCGGGATGTTGTCCTCCATCTTCGCCCTGTATTGTGATGACGTGTCAGGGAACACGTCTGAGCCATCACCTGAGTATGATGAGGCCTGGGAAGAAGTGTGAAGTTCATATATTTGTATTATTTAATGAGTATGTTTATTTATCGTGTATTTTTAATGATCTGTCAAGTACTCTTCAAAACGCTCGAGCATTCAAGTATTTTACGGAAGTCTGAAGTATTCATTCATTTTCATGAGCCTGCAAGTAGCTTTTCTGAACTATAACTATTCGAATATTCGTCGGAACTTCCAAGCATTTTTGTCTGAAACTTGGTATAGATTAACACAGACTCAGCGCAAAAGTCATTCCAAACGTAAGAGAGGCTCTGAGAAAAGGGTGTGAGTCTTAAGCCTTTAAAATAATTTTAAAATCTTTTTATTGATTATCTGAGGTGATGGTGTTGAAATTATTGAATCACAGTAATAGCGCATGTTGCGTTTGTTAATTCATTATTAGTTTCCTATGCTATCTTTTGCGTACAATCATAAATAGAAGCTATCTGACTGAAATGAAATATTGATACATTTGAATTACTAGTGAAGTAGGCAATATATATAGAAAACTATTAATCACGACCAGGTTCAAAATTAATTAGGCGGTCAATTACCGTAATATAAATAATCCCTATGGATTTTTGTAAATTAATCTTTCAATTTGTGATACTCAAATACAAGCCCCCAAAGAAGTCGAAATAATGTTCACAAGTATAATATTCACACAAAAAAAATCATTTTCTGCGCAAAATAATATTCATAAAAAAATGAATTTCCTCAAGAAACATCTTTAATTAGTAATTGTCGGGATAAATACTCACATGATTGGCGATGGGTGAAAGCAAGTCATGTCGTGGTTCCGTCATTCTATCAGCTATTTTCTATGAATTATGCTAATTTTTTTGCTAAACAAATAATTACATTCGGCGATGCACTCGAGATTTAAACTTAAACGGGTTTTCTGTGTCAAATTTTCAGGCAGCAAAAAATGAACTTCAAATCAATGTCACATCACAGCTCCAGCACAATTCACGTAGGATAGAAAATTCAGTATTACTTATATATTGGATAATACAGGGTGCGCCACAGAAACTTACTTATTTGAAAAAATTCCTGTGCGGTTAGTTGGTCGGGTAGAGGGGCGAGAGGGGGTGCATCTGAAGGGGAAAGTTCCCAAGTTTATTTCTCAAAGTTTCTCAAATAAATTTGCTGCAGTGCAAGAATTAACTGAACGCGATTTTGTTGCCCCTCAAAATGCATGTAAAATGCTGGTTGACAACCTGCCTGAAGACGCGGTGGTTTTTTTCAGTGGCGAGGCTCACTTCCACATTTCCGGTTGCGTTAACAAGCTAAACATGCGTTATTGGTGTGGTGTAAATCCACGTGAGTTTCACCAGAAGCCACTTAACTGTGAGCGAGTTACTGTCTGGTGTGCAACGTCGGTAATGGGAATAATTGGTCCTTATTTTTTTAAGAAAACGAACGCGCAGTTACCGTTAATGGAGCTCGTTACAGGAACATGATCGAGTGGAAACCATTATGAAAAAAGCGACTTCATTAGTTTATGCGCAATGGAGGCCGTCATTTATGAGATTTAATTTTCAAAACTGTATGAAAAAAATTTTGGGATACTGTTTTCTCGAAAAAAAAAAAAATTTAAAACAATAACTGAAATACTTTTGTTTTTATTGACCTTTCAAATAAGTAAGTTTCTGTGGCGCACCCTGTATTAGTCACGATATTCTTATATCTTTCGTCCGCTTAAATCACAAGTACACTAAGAACATGAAAATATGTTGCTTTATAATTCTTAGTCATGATCTGCAATGTACGTAACATTACGGCCGTAATTCACTGCAACATCCACCACACACAACCATCTTCATCACACTGCATCATCACCAGACATTACTCACCGTCACACCTGCACCACACTCAAGCCTGTCGCAGCTGCACGCTTACATCTGCTACACTAGACAATTGTAGCGCCATAACAGCTGCATCACAACACTGCCACAGCACCACCGCCACTTCAGCACAGCCACAGCACCACTGCCACTTCAGCACAGCCACACTCACAGCACCACTGCCACTTCAGCACAGCCACAGCACCACTGTCACAGCCACAGCACCACTGCCACAGCACCACAGCAGCACCGCAACGTCAGGCCACAAGTCTGACGCAAGAGGATCTTTTCCTTCCGTTGCTCGAGATAAGCAGAGGCTGTGGGCGCCTGTTACTGTCAAGCCTGCATCGTTGTCTTCAACTCAATATAATTGAACACAAGCAAACTACACATAAGCGTGATTATCATGCAGCACATAAACCTAGATAACATGTAGAGCTGAATAATTACATCCATAAGAGGTTATTATTTCTCGGTCTTTAACACGAGAATGAGTAAGGACATTGCATCGCAACGAACAATAATGTCATGCTTTCAACACACTAAAATTTAGAGAACATGGTGGAACAAATATCAACGCTAATCTAAAATGAACGAATAATTATATTAATCAAGGCGGAGATGCATAGTTATAAGGAAAGGAATTCTTAAGAAGTATTTCAGTTTTAATAATAATGATAATAGTTGAATAATATTATCAGTAACACGTCCCACACAGGAAAGAAAGAGTTAGATTGATATTCTTGATGGTTAGCTCTGCCAGCGGACAAATGATTGTCCCAACCATTTGACGATGTGTCTTTCGTAAACAGAAACACATTTATACTTAGCCTTTTGATGTATACAATTATATTATACCAATTTGATTTAATTATTACATTTAGCGAATGTCATGAAATTTTTGACCGAAAGACGGCGACAGCGATCAAATTGCAGGCTCTTTATCTGCTTGAAGAAAAAAATCAGGATTTGATGAGAGAAAAATCACGGATATCTAGGAGGCGGAACCCAGAAGTTGCAATCTACAGGACAATAAAATGCATTAGGCTAAATAAAATTTATTTGATTCAGAACTTTTTCATGGTTAGAAAAAGTTACTAACTATGAAGTAGCATTTAAACCCTAGCGACCGGAACGTTTCGTGACACACGCTAGGAAGTTCATAAATTGTACTGCTTTAAAGTAGATTCGTTTTTGAGTCAATGCATAAACTTTTACCTCAAGAGCTCTTCACAAAGCTCTTTTTAGGCCAAAAAAAATTCCCCGTCTACTTGCATAACGCAAATAAGTTTGCCTCCACAGCAAAAACATCAAAATTAACAATTATTTTTGCTAATTTCGGCGCGTATTCAAATATTTTCATAACCTATACAAGATTCTTGATACCCCGTCCCTGTAACTCGCAGAAAAACGAATATTCTTTCATAAACTCGACTGACGAATTTTAAAAATAACATACGAAAATTCATGTCAATCCGAAAATTCAAGAAATAAAACTAAGAAAATCGTGGATTAAAAACTAGATGTCGCTAGATAACTAACTAGCTAGGTAGTCTAATAGTTAAAATATCACAGTCGCAGTGGAATTCATCAACAAATTACATACATTGTTTGCAGGAATACTAGTAACTAGTAACTACGTGACAGAATGATGGATTAAAGTAACGAAATATACGACACTGTTAAATGCATCAAAAAAACTGCACCTATTTAACGAAGGTTTCACTTTAAGAAAAATACTTGCAAGTAAGTGCTTACTTAAGATGAAAGAAAAATTGGTAATTTTGAGATTACAAAAAAGTTTGGTTAGGGTTCTTAGAAAAATATTGAATGAACATGCGTTCAACCGGGCAAAAAAATTGAAGATCATGTGTTTAACATGGCAACAAATATTGAAAATCATTTGAGCAACATGACAAAATTATAATTTTGATAAACAGCCCGGGTGAAAACTCGTCAAGAGCAGCCAGGCAATTACACGTTATAAACAATAAAATAAAGCGGCATGACACAATGTAGTTTTAGAGCTGCGAACGTCGAGCATACAATTTGCGGTTTCAACAGAAATCAGTAAAATGAATTCAAAAAAATCTTCATTATTTCAGTGTAATCATGAAAACTCATGATGTTATTTTCAAGTCCTTGTTTTTTTGCAAAAAAAAAAACGCAGAGAAAGGTTCTTGTGCAGGCATTTCATTTAATTATTTTTCATTTCAACAGTTTAATGTCGCAGTTATCTACCGGTAATAATATAACTAGCAATATTATCATTACCATATCACCGGCAACCAAACAATCCGGTCAACTGAGGCTGGTTTCCCATCAGTTAAAAAAAAAAAAAAAAAAAGACAGCTCATAATACGAATAAATCCTTAGCTGATATGTCAAATTGATAATAAAATTGTACAAAATAAACTAGGTTGATAAAAACTAATGATCTTGGCAGCAGGTTAATTGGTCCGGGTAAATGATTAACTTGATAACGAGTTAACCATTCGTAAGCTGATCACATGAAGCCAAGAAGTCCGCTCGGAACTCCGAGTCCAGGAACGGAGCGAAGCCTGGGGAACAGAAAATTATATATAGAGAACAAGGATTAAACAGGATTAAACGATAAAACAGGATTAAACGATAAAACAGGATTAAACGATAAAACAGGATTAATAACAGGAACAAAGGTGAGAAGGAGATAAAAAAAAGTCCCAGCGGAAGAGGTTTTCCAATGTTAAAAAGCTACCTACGTTCAAGCAAACACTATTGATCAGGGTTAAGTAGCTCCCCTGTTTAAGTAGAAGGTGTTGGTCATGGTTAAGTAGCTACCCATGTTCAAGTAGAAGGTATTGGTCATGGTTAAGTAGCTACCCACGTTTAAGTAGAAGGTGTTGGTCATGGTTAAGTAGCTACCCACGTCTAAGTAGAAGGTGGTGGTTATGGTTAAGTAGCTACCCACGTCTAAGTAGAAGGCGTTGGTCATGGTTAAGTAGGTACCCACGTCTAAGTAGAAGGTGGTGGTCATGGTTAAGTAGGTACCCACGTCTAAGTAGAAGGTGGTGGTCAGGTTAAGTAGGTACCCACGTCTAAGTAGAAGGTGGTGGTCAGGTTAAGTAGGTACCCACGTCTAAGTAGAAGGAGCTTCTAATGCTCAAGTAGCTACCCACGTCTAAGTAGAAGGTGGTGGTCAGGGTGGGCGAAGAGTCTCAAGAAGATCAGTTTAAGGTCCTGGTATCGCTTGGTCGTCTGGTATAGCTTCACTGCAGCAGAGAACTCCCGGTAGCTGTCGTGTGGGAGGCAGGCTTTCACCTGCCCACATTAAATAATATTTTTAGGTAATTCTTATTATTAATAAACTTATTAATAAGATACAGACTCCCATAATGGGTGATTGCACCTGCCGTCGTGTAATAATATTTTCATGTAATTCAAACTTATTAATAAAATACAGACCACTACTTTGATATCAAATTTCCTCAGTATACTCATCCACGATCCTATCTATTTATGGTCTCTAAATAGTCCTAATAATTAAAAAAAATTAATGAATTGTACCTTGAATAAGTTCGTATTGTTGTCGAACAAAAATAAAGTTCTACTTGTATAAATTATTATTCTATTTATATTTATTGTTCATGTTATTCAGTAAGAGACGCTTCCAAAGTAAGGTGCCCTTACCTCCCGTACGTAGGCGGCAATTTTTTTGAGTTTCTCGTGTTTTTCTTCGCCATTTTTGGGTCCCGGAGGCCGAGTTTGGGCATCGTTTTGAGCAGCGTTGGTTGGAGGACAATTTTGATCGTCTTGTGACTTATTAATGTTTGCAGTGACTTTAATTTTACGTTTCTTTGTTACGCTGGACAGGTTTTCGTACCTGGAAGACGAGCTCGAGGATTCTGAAGTTTCACAGCCTAAAGAATTGAAGTCCAGAACATCAAAGCTGCCGGGGAAGTTTCGACTTCGTTTTCGCGCTGAATCATTGGCAATAGAATCATTTGCATCAGAATCATCTGTTTTATTATCCGATGGTGATCCAGCATCACTTGTTAGGGCATCAAAAATACTCTTGGGTTCCGCCCGAGAATTTTGGACTTGCGGAAAAAGACTTCGATGGCCGCCAAAAGCTCTTGGAGGGACAGGCTCAACTTTTGAAAACTCCGTAGTTTTGTTATTGACACTCATAAATTCTGTTGATTTGTTGTTGCCACTCATAAATTCCGTGGTTTGTCTGAGAATTATCCTTGAAGGAGCTTGACTTAAAGCTGAGCTGCCCACGGGCGCCATAGGCATAGGCAAATATTCTCCTGTAGAGGATTGATTTTTTCTCGCCCCCGGCAACTGCTTTCCGTTGTACGTAAGTTTTTGCTGCGGCTTTGGACACTGGAAAACAATCACATCAAATTTTGATTACTAAAATTCCATTTAAAATTATGGAAATTTGAAAAATACAAACAGGTTCCAATCTCTGAATTTCATAGGCTAGTCAAAAAATAATTTCTCACAACAAATGAAGATAAAGATTTTCCTATGAAAAGGCAGTTGTTTAGAATCATAAATTTTATGAAGATACATTAACACTTCGTGTTGATATGAGGGAGCACTTTACGGAGGCAAGGTCTAGTGAAATTGCCCTAGTGATAATTGGCTTCCATTAATATACTAGTTGAAGGAAATCCTTAATAACTCACAAGTTGTGAGGCAGGTCGGAAAAATCAAAGAAATAGGTTAGTCACTCACAAGTTGTGAGGCAGTTCGGAAGAATCTTGTGAGGTCCCTCATAGTGGGCGCAAAGTCAGGGTAGATTTTGAGGTGAGGTTGAACCCATTTACTGAGCTGGTGGCTGAAGTTCCCCATACCGAAGCTGCTCGAGGAAAAACAAACATGTTTATTTGAACATGAAAATTTACGATGTCAAACAAATATTTGGGAATTTTAGTATTTAATTGACGCATAAGAAAAAACGGCCGGAAAACAGCAAAAAATATAAATTTATTCAAAGGCTATACTGTAAACAGTGATATTAAGGGTATAATTGTAGAGGTAATAATATTAGGGATATAACTACATATATAATAATATTATGGATATAACTGCAGATATAATAATATTGAAGGTAAAACGGTAGATACAATAATATTGAGGATATAACGGTATATATAATAATATTGATGATGTTTGGTTAAAAATAATGATAGTTTTATTGAGGACTTCTTTCGAGTTTAATTTCTCAAACATTCTGAAAAGAGGTACAGTAATAGGGTCAATGTGTCTTAAGGATATAACTAATATTAAGGATATAACTGCATATATAATAATATTGAGGATATAACTATATGTATAATAATATTGAGGATACAACTGTACATAACTAATATTGATGATATAACAGTACCGGCAGTCAGCCAGCAGGATGGCCCCGTAGTCATCCTTGTGGCGGATGACGCGGCCGATGGCCTGGTTGACGGCGCGTGAGGCCTCGAGTTTGTACCACGCCTGGCCTGACTGGCCTCTCTGCCAGCACAGAGAATAGAGAAGTGGATGAAAAATAATTAGGTTTATTGTGGCCTGACTGGCCTCTCTGCCAGCACAGAGAATAGAGAAGTGTGCTTACTTTATTCTTAGCTAGGACGTTGTTGAGGTACTGCTGCTTTAGCACTACCTTCTAGTGCTAGTAAAGGCTTACTTTATTCTTAGCTAGGACGTTGTTGAGGTACTGCTGCTTGAGGACGACCCTAGGATCCTTGTACGGAGGATAAGGAAGTCCCGTTACGATCACCGCTCGTCCGTTGCCGTCCGCAAAATCCAATCCTTCGGAAACCTGCACAGTTTTGTTACGTCTCAATTAACTGAGTTAATATTCATGACAAGATGTTGACATTACTTTGTCATTAATAATATGTCAACAAGATGTTGACATATTTGCTATTAATTATCTCGTCCTTACTCGTTTATCACTTCGCTGTCAAAAACTTCATGTATTTGTACATGATTCTAAGGGCATGATGATAAACCTAATGGCTGCACTGAAGCCATAAAGGCTACTTTAATAAATGAATTCTAGAGAAAAATGTATTCACTGATAGATTTATAATAAATTGCGAGACATTATCAATAGACTTTCATCTTACTATGGAAGAATTTTAAACTATTATGATTTTCGTGCTACGTTACAATTTGTACACCGAGTTACAAAAAGTTTTGATCCAATGAGTTTTTCCAATTTGTTATGTAAAGCATATTATTATGAATGCATTACATGCACTAAAATTATATCAAGTAAACAAACTAAACGAACGAATTTTGCCTATTGGGCATAAAATTATGAATGAATTGCCTGTTACTCTAAAAAAAATATATGGGTCATATTTTTCCAAATGGTGACACACTTCCTGCTCGTAGAACTGAAACGTACTTCTGCTGCGCCAAACTTTGCCAGGGTGATCCACACGAGGGCAAAAAGTGCATCGCTATAAGGACATGTTGTCGCTCATTTCTCTGCGTGTATATCACAAAATATATTGAGGCTACACACCTTCCCCCTACACACGGGCTCATTTCTCTGAGTGTATGTTACAAAATATAGTCACGAGACACACCTTCCCTCTACACACGGCCATAAAGATGGCACCCCGTAGCGCTGGGTCGTTGACCTTCTCATAGAACTCGGTGATGGTGGACAGGAAGCCGTCCTTGTTCTGGGGCTCGATGAACGCAGGCTGTAATACATCATAAATGTTGCGATAGATAATCAAGGATGTAATATATACAAAAGTTTTAATACAAATACAAGGCTGCAGTACAGGCTGTAATACGTCATAAAGGTTGTGATAGAAAATCAAGGATATTATATATACAAAAGTTATAATACAAATACAAGGCTGCAGTATAGGCTGTAATATATAATAAAGACTGTGATGTACAATAAAGGCTGTAATGTATAAAAAGTAATAATATATAATAAAGGCTCCAATATATTTGGTATACAATAAAGGCTATAATCAATATAAAAAGTAATTATTGACATTAAAAAATATAAGCCACAAAAGAAGCTGCAATGCAAAAGAAAATCTATAATACACAATAAAGGCAAGTACTATTTACAATAATACATACTACTATACTATTATAAATAATCTAAACGTACGAAACTGATTGCCATGTTTATGATATACATAATTTTTTTATGCATTTATTTGGCAGTGAAACATATATTTGGTGAGATAATCACGTGCTTCTGGAACTTATAACCAGAGTGGATTAGCATTCTTAGGGGGTTATTGAGATTGAAACTAGGTGCACATATTATTTGTTAGCATAGTTCGTATATGTTAAAAGTGAGGGAACAATTGCTTGGTAAATTATATATTGCTTGTCCTTCCTCTCCAAACATATTCTCATCAGCAAGACTCACAAAAATGAATGGGACTTTTTGTCCAAATAGTGACACACTTTCTCACCCAGCGTCCGCTCACCCAGTGAGCGGACGTAGCACTGATACGCCCTTTTGCCGGGCCAAACTTGGTCCAGAAAGAAAGGGCAAAAAGTGCATCGCTATTTGCACAAAGTTTTAATATCATTCTTTTACATTATATGTGTGATGAGTAATATATCTTTGAACATATTAATATTCTACCTTGATATTTGTTATTTTATCCCAGACGCCATTGATCTGCCAGTGTTCGTGGCAGTTCTTAAGGATGGGGTAGGAGGGGAAGAAGACCAGCAGCCCTCCTGGGATGACCCTGCTGAAGTTCAGGATGAGGTTGCCCATGGAGTTCAGGTATTCAGGGCGAGATCTGTAACATTAAAATATTAATTATTATTAGTAACTATTGTTTCATTTATACCTAGCATGCTGGTCATCATAAGTGTGAAGCATAAGGCGCGAGGTATGATTTTGCTTGCACTTCATCTACTCATACCTAGCAGGTACCTGATGTGATATAACAAGAAATATACCTGTTCTGATGAGGTATAACAAGAAATAAACCTGTTCTGATGAGGTATAACAAGAAATATACCTGTTCTGATGAAGTATAACAAGAAATATACCTGTTCTGGTAGGAGGAGTTCAGAGTACAACCATCAGGTCCTCTGTTCACGACGCCCACGAACACTTGATGGCCTTTGATGATGTGCGAGTTTTCCAACTGCACCGGGAACCCAACCTGCACAATTGTTGTTCACAATCATTATATTATATTGTAAAGTCATTATTATATTGCATATATTGGCCGTAAAGGTTCTATTATTATAGTGTTAAGTGATTAACTCTGCAGGGGCACTCATAAGCGTGCTTATCTATTTACCGTGAAAGTGTATCCATCATTGTGGTATAAATTTGTAATGAAGGTTCAACTATCATTGTGGTAGAAATTTGCATTGATTGTTAATTTCCATATCCTGCCTACACAACATAAATGTTATACTCTATTTTCTTATTTGAAATACTTAGGAAAAGTAATTAATGAAATGAAAGTTAACTCGAAACTCATTTCTATAAAAGGATTGTACTGAATGTATATTCTTCTTATAGATTCTATAACGATGTTTCTCTAAGAGGATTGTACTGACAGAGCTCACTGGATTGTGCTGATTGAGATTAATGATGTATGAGCTTACTGGATTGTGCTGATTGAGATTAATGATGATTGAACTCACTGGATGATTGTTGATTGCTCACCTGGAGCTCCTGAGTGAAGGATTGCAGAGGACTGAGCGTGCCGCTGGTGATGATGACGCAGCGTATGCCTTGCTCCACCATCTCCTTCATGCTGTAAATATGGTGAACAACATCACATTGTGCTCTAAATCATCTTATTTTATGCTTTAAAGCACACATCGCTTTGTGCTCTGATTCGTATTAATTTATGCTTTATAAAGCACAACACTTTGTGCTCTAAATCATATTCATGTAGGCTCTAAAGCACAGCACTTTAGGTATGGGATGCTCTGCTCTGCCATATACCATATTTTCATGCCGCTAAGTTAATAAACTATTCGATCAAAAACAATTTTTAAAATCATTTTTATCACAGTTTAAAATCACACATTCAAAATCATGCTACTTACCCAAACCCTGGATTGAAGCACCAGTAAGAAAGAACACGGCCTTGCTTGGAAGTAAGTGTGTTGCTCTGCCCAGCACCGCTGTTACTGTCATGATTACTTCCATCTCGGCTGAAGTTACTGCCGTTAGCTTTACTGCCCCAGCCACCTGCTTGCCGCTTCTTTACTTCTTCGACTGCCACGTGAACCTGGGAGAAGATTTGAAATTTACAACCAGTTTACTAACTTCCAAATTAAAACTTTCACAAGGCTTCAATGTGCTCTCTTTACAAAATTTAGAATTTCAGTGAAAGTGTGCATTTGAAATCTTTTTCCTAAATTAATAACAGTTTACTAGCTTTTAAAACGAAATTTTTACAAGATTTCAATGCGCACTCTTCACTAAGAAATTTCAATCAAAGTTTGATTAAATGTTCAAATGCGCGTTTGAAATTTATTTACTATTTAAATTGTAAATTAAAAATTATTTATATTTTCATGCATGCAAATAAAATATTAACATAGCTGTGTAACTGGTTAAAAATATATGCAGAATAAAGAAAGAAATATGCAAATAATATATTCATAAAGCTTTGCTTCTGACTCCGAAATTACTAACATAACATGTAAAAATAACAAGCATAGCTTCGCAACTGACAACGTAACTAATAGTATATGTAGAAAAATACGGGAATATCTCCGTAACTAACTGTAACTAATAGTATACCTATCTAAAAACACGAGCATATCTCTGTAAATGACTCTGTAAGACTCTAACTAATAGCATATGCAGAAAAAAACAAGCATAGCTCCGTAACTGACACTAAACTAATAGTATTTCTAAGAAAAACACAAAAAAATCTCCGTAACTGACTCTAACTAATAGTATAAGCAGAAAAAACACTAGCATATCTCCGTAACTGAGTGTAACTAATATATATCTAAAAACACTAGAATATCTCCGCAACTAACTCTGTAACTAGTTTTGATGGCCTCCATGTGCGCGAGCGAGAAGTTGTCTTTGCTGAAGACAATCTTGATGAGCTCAGAGAACTTCTGAAGACCTGCGCCCTTGCGCTGGAACGGCGAGCTGCTGTTGCTGGTCAGGTAGGTCACCTGTAGGGGTACGTGTACACTCAGAAAATGAATGGGTCATATACAGAGGTGGGCAGTAGCGCGCTACATGTAGCGATAGCGGTAGCGCCGCTACATTTAAGCAATTGTAGCGGTAGCGGTAGCGCCCGCTATACATTTAAGCAATTGTAGCGGTAACGCCCGCTACATTTAGAGCATTTAGCGGTAGCGGCCGCTACATTTCAAAGTAGCGCTGCCCAGCTCTGGTCATATAGTCCAAATAGGTGAGAGAGTCTCAATGGTACCAACTTTGTTCAGAGCACAAGCCGAGAGCGGACGTACCTAACACTTAAACGCCCATTTGCCGAGCTAAACTGGGTCAGAATAATCAAACCGAGAACAAAAACTGCGCCGGTATTTGGACAATGTCCTGCTCATTTCTCTGAGTACAAGAGGGTTGTTTCTAGACTACTGGTATGATATAAATAAAAATATTTACTTCAACTAAAACTTATAAATGAATGAAAAAAGAAAGAACTAGTGTGAAAAAAATAAATATATATACGCTACGCATAAGGTTGCAAATAGAAGCAAGAATAAGAAATATTCAAGAAACTTACAATTTCTGCAACAACTTCTTGTGGGATCAAGCTAAAATATATTGCAACTGCTTCTTGTGAAGGCATTTAAAAAATGCATTAATAAAAAAGGCTTGAAATATGTGTATAATTTATAATACTTAAAACTTACTATACATATATATAGGTATAGGTAATATATCATACTCCAAACACGAAAATGTTGTAATACAGCACTAGATGGCATGAAAAAATACATCTATTTCAACTTATTCGCCGTCAAAACTTAGTACCTATATAGGTAGGTTGAAATCTAATAGTGACATGCCCGGTAACTAAGTCAGGTACTCGGAACACAAGAGATATTGACTATAGATCGACAATGTTTGAAGTATATTTGATAATACATACATATCTATGTACATACCTATATAACATCCAAAAATCTAGCAGGTCGCCTGCCACTCACAAGTTTATCTAGCAGGTCGCAGATGGTAGCCTGCCACTCACAAGTTTATCTAGCAGGTCGCAGATGATAGCCTGCCACTCACAAGTTTATCTAGCAGGTCGCAGATGATAGCCTTCTTATGAGGCGTTATCTCGGCCTGCTGCAGAAGGTCGAACATGAAACTGCCGGGGTGACTCGCTCCTTCCTTTGACAGGGGAGTGGCGTCCACGACCTGCGCAGGTAAATTTTGTTAAATTTATGGCAAACGATAATTAACATTAGCTGATGTTTGTTACTAATAATTGTCATTGCATGATTTTCCACAACAAGAAAATAACACATAGTCAAAAATTAGAAAATGAAATTTTGAAACAGCATATCTTGTTGATAATTAAATATCGAATTGTTCTCTCAATTTAAATTTCCATGATTAATAGGAGTCTTTAACAAAAGAAATTGCAGCCAAATTTATTTTAACAGAACTACGTTTTTACTGAAATTTGGATGCATGCAATGGTCGCCCAGTGTGGATGGAAACATGTTGGCAAATGGCATCAACCACATCAGAATACACCAAACATTACTGAAACAAGACATTAAGACGAGCACCAAAATACTAAACCATTATCTTTCCTATGCACTTATTATGCAAACCACTATCACCTCTTCAAACTTCAAGAAGACAGCTTTTAATAAATAAAGTTCGTCCATCGTGAAGTCCTGAGGCACGTCTGCTCCAGGATCATTAGCGGCGAACGCTTCCTGGTCTCCTCCGCTCTCCTGCAGTCTCTGCATCACCTGTAACATCATTTTATTCATCATTATCTTCGTTATCACCTGAAACATAAGCTACCATATTATCTATCATTTTCATTATCTTCATTATCACCTGAAACATAAGTTATCATATTAGTTATCATTATCTTCATTATCACCTGAAACATAACTTATCATATTATCTATCATTCGCATTATCTTCATTATCACCTGAAATATAAGCTAGTATATTATTCATCATAATCATCCTTCTCATAACCATCTATTACCAAAGTCATAATTTTATTCATAATAATCAAACTCTTCACTGTCATCTGAAACCTACATTTTTTTTGGTTATCAAAGATCTTATCATAATAAATAGTGGCGTATCACAATGAAATAGAATACGGATGTTTTATAATCAGCAAAATTGAGTACATATGCAAAATAGCGCACGAGTCTGCAAACGTATTTATACCAAATGAATAACTCGGATGATTAAATGCTAGCTAACTTTAGAGAAGCATAACAGCGCGTGGGTGGAGTCCGAGTTTCGAATTCTAGTCGGCTTTTAAATCACGATTTTCAATTTTTTGCGTTATTCTTAGCTTAGTATATCGTTAAGTTGCTGTTTCGTCAACTTGCAGGGTTATACTGGAAAGATATTTATACTAGATTTCCTGTTTTCCACTGTACAACCATACAAGTTCCGTAGTACAGCGTGCAGGTAGACCTGTTTAACTGTACATATAAACGATTTTCACTATACAACCAGACTAGTTCAATTATCTACCACAGTACCGGTACATGAAACTAGTTCAGCAGTAACTACCTAGTTTTAGGTAGGCTAGTTACTCATCACCATTACCTGGGTGACCTCATCAATACAAAGAGCGATGTCAGTAGACCGGAGCTGAAGGGAGGCAGCTTCTTCACACATTTTCTCCACATTGTGCGCTTCATCAAGTATAACTACGTAGCCCTGCAATATAAACGCAATATAAAATGCAAACACAATTACCGTTTACAGGAGACTACAGTTTCACAAATTTTCACTGATAGTATTCATCATTGGATGTAAATAGGCTTAATTAGTGTAAGTATATACTGGAAAAAAACATTAACATGCAACAACAAGGTTTTGAAAAATTGCTACTGAAGAGTTAAATATAAATTCATCACAGATAAACATAACATGGAATTCAATTCAAGTCCATGTAGTAACATACTTTGAATGCGGAGAAGGGGGTCCAACAAAATCAAACCTAATTTAATTGATCATTAGATGTAAACTGAAATTTAAGTCGGGTGCATTTCGGGTGCAGGAAAAATTATAATGTATATGATTTTATTACGTGAAGTTCGAGGCCGTGAGCCATTCTCGTGCGAGGATCGAGCAGGTAGTTGTAGGGCATGAAGATGATGTCAGCGTCGTGACGAAGCTCTCTGCCAGAAGTACAGACACATTAAACAATACAACACAATGATTCAGCTTAAGCAAACAACCCTTTATAGGCACACACCTAGTGAGGTAGGTAGTAAGGACACACCTAGTGAGGTAGTAAGGACACACCTAGTGAGGTAGTAAGGACACACACCTAGTGAGGTAGTAAGGACACACACCTAGTGAGGTAGTAAGGACACACACCTAGTGAGGTAGTAAGGACACACCTAGTGAGGTAGTAAGGACACACACCTAGTGAGGTAGTAAGGACACACCTAGTGAGGTAGTAAGGGCAGCAAGTGCGGCGCTTGCCATACAGCACCAGGTCTTCAATGTCCATCACTTCACTTCTGAGCGCGGGGTCATCCTTCTTGCCTTCCACCTGCAATTTTCAGGGAATATTTTGAATTGAGCCTCTAGTTATGTACCTATTTGAATTTATCCTCTAGTTCTATCTGAATAGTTCAATGTTTAAAACTCACCACAAATAAAGTATCAAGTCTGTATCAAGCATCTAACACTACAGTCCCATGCTAAAAACTGACCAGACTGGTAGCATGGCATGCATGGGTATGCCATCTATAAATTGAGTTAAAAAAGATCTAAATCTTAATCATTTTTTTAGTAAGAATCCTATCAATAAGGTTCCTTTTCTGAAATATGATCAACAAATGTAATTACAACCTCAGTTATGTGGATTACAAATATAATACACATGACAACTCTATTGTTAAAAGAATTTCTAACCACAATATCATGGCTATACTGTCAACATTTGTATAAGTGCACAACATAGCAGCTAATCTCTCATTTGTGAGGGTTTAGCTTAAAAAGCATTCAGTGATTGGTGAATTGAGTTACAACTCTTAACTTCTTCAATAGAGTTTCTGAACACGCACCTGGTTATGGAAGTAACACGTCTTGGACTTGACCCGAACTTGACACATGTGCAGTTTTGTGCTGTTGTTCTGCTCCTTTGACACCTCAGGGTGGATGCACAGCTGGTCTCTGGAGCCAAGCACTGCCACCTGAACACAAGTGGTCTCGTATATACACTCAGAGAAATGAGACTGTCAAATTAGTGATGCACTTTTTACCCTTGAGTGGGTCATCCTAACAAAGTTTGGCCTGGAAAAATGAGCACATAGGTGCTACATGCAGTAAGTGAGTCACTATTTGGACAGTATGACTCATACATTTTTATCAGTATAAGAGCAAAAAAGAGATTTATTGTAACCAGTTCATTTCAAATTTTCTGGTCTACTTCAAAAATTTCTTCAGTTTCTTATGTATGTTAATGCTGGTATTGGTGATATACTGGTCTTCTTATACAATTCACTGATTTAGATCAACAAATAAGCTTTTTGTTTGCTACTACAACTGTGTTCTTAAAAAAACATTTCAAAGTGAAGCACAAAGAATGCAATGTGAGAGCAAAGAAAATAAATTATGAACAGGTGAAAAACTAAAAAAAGACAAGATTAAAGAAAGAAAAAATAAATCAAGATTTGAATGAATAAAATGGAACTGAAGGATACAGGAAGTTAAAAAAAAATATTAAAGGTCACTCACAGCCATTACAGATGACAATATGAATATTTTGAAAAATAATGACAAAGTTTGCTTCAAAAGTTTAAACTAAAAAAATAAAAATAAGAAAGGGACTCAAAGTAAAGAAAGACTTTGATAACTAAGTAACTTTTAAATTAAATTTTTTATCTAATGTTATATTCAGGGTGCATACCAGTATTTAGAAAAAAATTCCATGACTTTTCCATGACCTGGTTCTAGTAATCTTTGAATGTTAACTGAAAAGAGAGTAGTCAGTGTAGCAGAACCAAACTTTGCCAGAACATGAACAAGATGTGTATCAAACCTACACATCCACTTGTATAGGTATTTATTTCATCTTACAATTTTATTACGAATCCATTTTTCTCTGCTGGTTCCAAATGGAACCGCTCAGCATTAATGGATTAACAGAAGCAGCACAGAAAAACACTTCCTTTTTAGCGCATTTTCTCATTTATGGAAAAAATGCACTATTGTGCTCGCCATGTCCGTCTGTCTGTCTGTCTGTCAGCCCGTCTGTCCGTGACCTCAAGTTTTCGTCGACGAGAAAATGCGCTCTCTGTCACTCACTGCTGTGAGTACTGAGTTACCTATATTTTTTCTTCATTTATTTGCAAATTCCATGACTTTCCATAACCTGAAATGAAATCCCATGACTTTCTAGGCCTGGAAAATGAAAAATCAAATTCCATGACTTTCCAGGTTTTCCATGACCAGTACCATATGCACCCTGTAAATTAGATAATTAATTAATAAATTCAGCAAATATTAAAAACAATAAGTGAGAAGTAATTAAATGGGTGAAACATACGTACCTTGACATACTTGTAAGCTGTTCTCTTGAGCTCGGATATGGCTTGAGAAAGCTGGGAGTGAGTGCGTGAGGCATAGATGATCTTTGGCAAGCCTGGTACAAAGAATAATTATCAGCATTTTATACAGTTTTATCAAGATCTAACATCAATGAAATTAACATTTTGATTGTAAATTAAAAATGTAAAAGATTTTAAAAAGCTAATGTTGGCAGTTTTTTACATCTGAAGATAAAATGAGAACCATTACACAAGTGCTTGGAAACAACTGTGTAAAAAATTATGCATCAGTTTATCACTCATGTTTACATTTAGTTTATAATGTATTCTCAAATCTTGAAAAAATATGCGGCTATTCTCTATTCAAAACTAGGTGCATAATTAATTTCAGATCAATGCAGTACCTCTAAAGAGTTCTTTATCTCATAAAAGACAAGCTAATTTATTGCTTACAATCATCTAACCTGGAAATTAAATATATACCTCTAAATAGCCCAAAGCTACTGCCAGGCAGTGAACCAATATTATTGGAACTTGCTGAATCAAAACTTGAAACTGTGTCCATGGACATGGCATTCATGCTGGCTTGCATCTGAGCTTTGTGATGCTCCAGCCAGCCCAGTGATGCACACAGCAGACACAAGGTCTTGCCTGTGCCTGTGGGTGACTCGAGGGCACCATTGCTGTTCTGGAGAGTTAGTAAAATTACATTCAAATTAATCCATTGAACAGAGTGTGATAGAGAACAAATTGGCAAATAAAGTATACTTTTGCATATATTGTGTACTAGACTGTAAAGAACAACTGTTAGAAGAAGATTATCATCTGAATACAAAAGAGGTTGCAATGAATGTAGGATTTCATAGGTACCATCATAAAATATAATCAATTGAAAATTTTTTTGAAGAAGCATTGGCAATTACAAAAAAATCACTGTATTAAACCAAATATGTGATAAATTAAAGTAAAAATGTTAAACATTTTCAAATTAATAGTACTTTTTTTGAGAAACACAAATAATTGCCTTTGTATGGCAAAGCTTGGCAAGTTGATTGCATGAATAGGATGCACAATTCCTGTTCAAGAGACACAATAAAACAAGTCAATAGGTACTCAAATGAACCCATTGAGGCAAAGCCGACATTTCTTCAGACTAGACCTCTTCGAGTGTATTGAGTCAGTGAGTCTCATAGATAGATCATAGATCCTATTCAAATTAATAGATAAAGTATTGTGGATACCAACATTAGGCATCAAACATAAAAATGTACCTATGTTAATGCTAATGCATAGGTACCTACATAAAAATTTATGTGTGGAGACCATAAAAAAATTTGAACTAGATCAGAGAATTTGAATGAACTGGTTTCTAAGAAATTTCTGGTTTGCCACTATGAATGAACATAACATGGGCCCAGGGTGATACCAGGCAGTATTAACAACAACAATTAGACAGTAGGACAACATCTAAAGATCTTCGGCAAATAGCAGAAGAATGGTTTGCTAGAGCTTCAGATATCAAGCTATTTTGCACTGGAGGTAAATAGAAAACATCAGCAAGGTGAAAGGTATCAATTATTTAATATATCTCAAATGAATCATCACCTTTAATGACCAACCAGCTGAAACTAGCTTAAAAAAAAACAGCATTGGCAACTCATCATCATCGACATCTATATCTTCAGAAGGTCCCACCAACAAATTTTTCTTCACATGTATTTGTGGCAAGCAATCTTTCAGATCCAAATTTGTAAACAAATCCTAAATAATGCTAGTAACATTTTGGACTTGAAAACCTGATCTTAGGACTTAAGTGCCAAATTTGGCAATGTAAGTTCTGCAAGGGATTGGATTTAATGTTGCATAGATAAGTAAAAAATTAAGTGATTTCTAATTAAGTGACTAGTGAAAAATCGAAAAGATTATTCCAAGCAAACATCTTTTACATAGTATCGGAATTGAATAATCATACAAACTAAAGTACAGTGTAAATGATAGGAATTGTTATTAATATATTCAAAGTTGATTCTCCAGTCTGGTAATTTACTCAGTTGCAAAATATTATTATTGGCCAAGTTATCAGACCATAATAGGGGAAGAAGTCAAGATCTACTAGCCATGTTTTTAGCGCATTTTCTCATTTATGGAAAAAATGCACTATTGTGCTCGCCATGTCCATCTGTCTGTCTGTCCGTCCGTCCGCCTGGCCGTCCATCCGTGACCTCAACCTCAAGTTTTTTTGTTGACGAGAAATTGAGCTCTCTCACTCACTGCAGTAAGTACTGACTTATATTTTTTATCTAATTTTGATAAGTACCTATATAAATTTCTATGATTATGTATATAGGTATATTAAACATCCCAAATTCTAACATTTGCTCAAGATTATTAATAAATCATGTAAATAAATTTCTATAAAATCATGTTTAGAAATTATTAGTTTTATGATATTTAATACATCAAATACTTACCATTTGAAGGCATTCAATGACTTTGGTCATGTAGTTTCTTTGGACCTCATATGGCTCAAATGGAAATTGAATTGGAATTCCATTAATAATCAACTGAGGCATTTATAAATAATAAGGTCAAAAATCTGAAAAGAAAAACTGTAATAAAGAGTACCTAGAGTGCAATATAATGACAAAATAAGTGACAAAATAAGGATGTGGTCCAGTTTGAGTTCAACTAGACCAGTTGAGCATAAATTACCAATACAAGCACCAATATAATTTTAATGGGACAAGTTTACTCTAACATTCTATAAAGGCTAATAAAGCTATTAGGTTAAAGCTTTTCTTAGTGGTTTCATGACTCCTTGACTTTTTTCAGATACAGCTTTCCAAACTACCAAGTCCTGCAGTTCAATATCATATGCTATGAGTTATGATGTGTACTAGTTAATTAAATACCCCTCTAGAATTTCACACTGAATTAATATCAAGAGCTGATTTTTTATATGTGTTGCTTACAGTTGCTGCCATCAAATCCTTAGGTCTTGCATCCATATAACAGGACTAAAAGGACAACGCCCCTGAGTCCAAACAGGGACGTATGGATGTTTAACATTTTGGTCTTTCTGCTATTGCTGGCCTTCCAAGTTCCAGATGTTTGTTAGCCTTTGGAACGGTGCGCTTGCCAAGTTGCCATTGCCACTTGCTTCTTCACTTCTGCTGTGCTTTCATCCTCCACATTCCTTAGTGATCTTAGCACCTGCCACCCAAGCATGGAAAAGTTCTACCGTTAGGGCTGCAACCAGAGCTTTCCTGCCATTTCCAGAACCGTGCAATTTCCGCCAGATGACTTAACTCCTATCTAATTGTTAACAAAGTGCAGGATCCGGCCGCACGATTCCAAATGAATTGAAAATTTGTCCCGTTGGAGCCACAAGATTTCAGAAACAAGTAGGAAAATTCTAATCCTGCTGCCACCTAGATACGTGAAGCTCTCAATCTCACTCTCTCCAGCCCTCAGTCTATTGTATTGTGGCTCCTGCTGTTGATCTTCTTATTTTGCATTTCCTGGCTTTCAGACTTTTAGTTTTACTTTTAGCCCCACTTTTGCTGCATTACCGTCAACCGGGGCTACTCGGGACTGACAGGGCTACTTGGGACAGTGTTGGCGGGGGTGGTTTAGGCTACTTTGCAGCACACCCTCTTGTTCCTCTTATATGTTGTCCCCTTTTTCCCTCTTATGTGTGTTACTGTGTGTTTATATTGAAGTGTCTAACTATTTTATAAATTCAACTAAAATAATTCTCATTCTTTTCAGGTCAGGCTTAGATCAGTAATTGATTACCTAAATTTATGCCAAAAACTATTCTAAAGTGTGGTGCTGTATAAATTGCTGTCCCACGCTCCCTAGTCCCTAACCTAATGGGAATAAAACTTCATTTCAAAACATTTGAAGCATGCAGAGCGTACTCATCCATTACTAACAGTACTCTGAAGTCCTCCTCTTTCTTTGTAGATGATGTAGAGGTAGAATAAATGACATTTTCTGTGATTTTTACTTGTTTCTCCTTTATTGATATGATATTGCCATATACATTAATTACCGTATTATTGATGTGCAATTATCATATTATTGATGCAATATTACCGTATCCATGAACATGCCATTGAGCATTCACAACAACCTTGTCCACTGCAAGCTTCATATCAGCAGCCTTATAGAATTTTTTTCGTATCTGTAAGCTTACAGGATGGCTCGTAATTTCACATCATTTTAATTGGGTTAAGTGAATTTACTTTAGTAAAAAAGATTGTGAAAAACATACCTGAAACAGAAAGGAATGTTTCAGTGACAACCAACGTATCTTTTGGAGAAATAAATCATAGTTAAGGTCAATTACTTTTCATTCTATGATGCCTGGTGCACAATTCTATACATGACATGCTATGCACAATTTTGTGATGACCGATGATGCACTAATTTTTCGATAAGTGAAATTTATTTCGCTGAGCAAGGAAACTGTGATCAATATTCTTTGTTTTTAATCAATTTTTTTTTTTGTAATTGGAGCCTTTGCTAACTGAGGTTCTACAGTAAATGCGTTTTTGGGGGTGTCCCGAATAGCCCCGGGGGGTTGTCCCGAGTAGCTCTGCCATGCGGAAATGGCTGCCATTTCTTTTCGGAATGAGATAGGCAAATTCTGTCAATTATGTTTTCAAGCCGACACCTGGGTGCAACTTTTATGAAGTAAAATTTTTTAATACAGCGAATATTTTTTTTTGCTACATACCTTAGCAGTTGTAACTTTACAAAATTTAGTTTTTCACCATTTTTTTCAGGAATTTTTCAAAACGAGTAAATGTAGTATTTTTCAACTTCCTTTATACTACATAGATAGGAAAATTGTTGACGTTTACACCACTATTTTTAGTTTTGCAATATTCCAATAAGTTTCGCTACTACAACAGTTTTACGCCATGTTGGAGGCCTGTCCCGAGTAGCCCCGCTTGTCCCGAGTAGCCCCGGTTGACAGCATATTTTTTTATAGTAAATTCACTTGACCCAATTAAAATGGCGCATGAACGAGCGCATGGCGCATAACCGAGCACAATTGTGCTTGCCATGTCTGTCTGTCTGTCCATTCATCTGTGACCTCAAGTTTCCGTCAATGAGAAAATGCGCTCTCTGTCACTCACTGCAGTGAGTACTGAGTTATATTTTTTTTATAGTAAATTCACTTGACCCAATTAAAATGGCGCATGAACGAGCGCATGGCGCATAACCGAGCACAATTGTGCTTGCCATGTCTGTCTGTCTGTCCATTCATCTGTGACCTCAAGTTTCCGTCAATGAGAAAATGCGCTCTCTGTCACTCACTGCAGTGAGTACTGAGTTATATTTTTTTTATAGTAAATTCACTTGACCCAATTAAAATGGCGCATGAACGAGCGCATGGCGCATAACCGAGCACAATTGTGCTTGCCATGTCTGTCTGTCTGTCCATTCATCTGTGACCTCAAGTTTCCGTCAATGAGAAAATGCGCTCTCTGTCACTCACTGCAGTGAGTACTGAGTTATATTTTTTTTATAGTAAATTCACTCAACCCAATTAAAATGGTGTGAAATTACAAGCCGTCCTGTGAGCTTATAGATACAGAAAAAATTCTATAAGGCTGCTGATATGAAGCTTGCAGTGGACAAGGTTGTTGTAAATGCTCAATGGCATGTTCATGGATACTGTAATATCACATTCACATCAATAATACATTAATATCTCATCATTAATATGGTACCGTCAACTGGGGTGACTTCGGCCCCGTTTTTTTATTTTGTTTTGCAAACAAAAGCAGGGTCATAAACAATGGTCAAAGTCACTCTGGCATTTATGACCTTGTTTACGACCCTGGCGTTTATGACCCCGGCGTTTACAACCCCGTTTTTGTTTGCAAAACAAAATAAAAAACGCAGCCAAAGTCACCCAGTTGATGGTAATTAATGTTTATGGTAATATCATCAATAAAGGAAAAACAAGTAAAAATTACTGAAAATGTCATTTATTCTACCTCTACATCATCTACAATGAAAGAGGAGGACTTCAGAGTACTGTTAGTAATGGATGAGTACACTCTGCATGCTTCAAATATTGTAAAATGAAGTTTTATTGCAAGTGTCCCGAGTAGCCCCGTTCGACGAGGCTACTAGGGACACTTTTTTTTTTGCTTCTGGCACCTTACGAATAGCAACTGGAATTTTTTTGATGATGCCATTCAATAGCCCTTGCAAAGAGCTATAAAATGAGCCTAAACTTGTTTATGAAATGTATCAGAGGTCTTGCCTTCAAACTGTACCTGGAATGTACGGCCTGAGAGGTAGGCACGTAGCCATCTTAACAGTGTACCCCGCACCCCACTCTGGCTTAGTTTGTATAGCAGGCCTGTGTGCCACACTCGGTCAAATGCATTGGATAGGTCACAGAACACCACCAACAGCACTGACCTGGTGGCAAGGGCAGCACGGACTGCAGCCTCCAGTCTGGCGACTTGGTCCACTGCAGCTAGACGACGGCGGAACCCTCCCTGTGATGGTCTGAGAGAGCCATTTTGCTCTAGATGGAAGCGCAGTCGTTCATTTATTAAGGACTCCAGCAACTTGCCCAAACAAGACAACAGTGATATTGGCCTGTAGGATGAGACAGAGGTTAAACTCTTAGCTGGTTTAGGAATAGGAACAATTAAGGCTAGTTTCCAAGAGCTAGGAATTGAGGCAGAGCTGTAGCTTTGATTATAGATGCTGAGTAACCACTTCTGATAGTCTTGAGGCAAATGGGACAGGTGAGCATTATGAACAAGATCCAATCCTGGAGATGTATTCTTAAGAGTTTTTAGGGAGCGTTGTAGCTCGTAGGAAGNCCTTTTGAGGGTATAGCAAAAGCGGCAGAGGTAGAATGGCTTGGGGTGCTGATATGGGAGCCATCTGTGTAAATTGCTGTGTGACCAGAGTATTTAAAGTTAACAAGATCAGAGAAAATTTGAACAGCAGCCTCTGAGGATACATCAGATACTGTTGTGGGAGAAAAATCTACTGAGAAAAGATCATCAGTGTTGATCCAAGGAGGGAAAGGAGAAATTAAAGGGGAAGTGAGAAGGCGAGGAATTTGGATTTGCAGTGAAGCCAAGATTGTCCTGGTATGAGGAACAAAACTGATCAAGAGGTTTGTTGTTCTATTTGGCATGACATGAGGCACATTTGGGGAGAACAGTTCAGTTACTATAGGATTTTGGGGCAACTGTATCAGGCGGAAGTAGTATTTGCACATTACTTCTTTGTGATGAATGGATAGGGGAGGGATGTTTGCCTCTACCTCCATGGAGGAAACTGGGGTTGTCTTACGGCAACCCAGTGCGATCCGTAGACAATTATTCTGTATGACATTCAGCTTTGAGAGATTTGTGGGAGCTGCTGATGCATAAAGAGCAGCTGCATAGTCAATTCGACTTCTTATTAGAGCTTTATATAGTTTAATCAACATAGTGCGGTCTGCACCCCAGTGTCTGTTAGAAATAGACTGCAAGAGATTTACAATAGGCATGCATTTTAGTTTCAGTGAGTGGATATGTGGTTCCCATCGTAGTCGTGGGGCGTCAAGGACAACGCC